TGTCCCTGTCCCACCGCCCACCGATCCGGAACCCTGACTGCATCTGCAGAATCCCTTTGCTACGAAACGTGACACCATCACAAGTGTGGGTGCCGGTCCCCAGCTGGGGACCTGGCGCAGGGTTACGAACCGCTCCGCCCCTTCCCCCTCTTCCTGGCTCTCAGGACACCGCGCCCTCCTGGGTCTCTCCTTTCCTCACTGCTGGCATCCTTGCCTGCATTCACACCCCACCGCCAGCACTTTTAAGAACATCGGGACTCTCTAAAAAATGATAAGAGCGTGCTGGGCCCGGGCCACCCAGGGAGCTGGCAGAAGTCACCCCAGCTGAGGACGGTCAGCCCCTGCTGGGCAGCTTGTGTCCTAGGGGCTGGAGTGACCACCCCGGGTCAGGTAGTTCCCAGGAGACTTTGGAAAGTGCTGAGTCACCCTCTGACAGCTGGGGGTGAAGGTGGGGTGGGGTGACCCAGGCAGAACTGGCCCCTTTTCTAGCTTGGCTAGACAGTGTTCAAGCCCCGGCCTGGCCTGAAGTACAATGGAAACAAGGGGGGCCCTGGGGATGGCCCAGCGGTTGGATCTGGGGGTGGAAGGGCACCAGGCACAATACTAGTAACAATGGCGGCTCCTCTGGCGCGCTTACTATGTGCCAGGTGCGCGGTGAATGCGTCTGTCAGCTCATTTAACACCACGACTATACTTACGAGGAAGGTCCTGTGGTTAACCCCATTTCCCAGAGGGAGAAACTGAGGCTCAGTGAGGCTAAGGGACTCCCCGAGGCCAGACAGCTCCGGACTGGCGAGGAGCTGACAAGCAGGGGTCGCATCTGTGACCCCTTAGTGTTTCTGCCGTGCTGCAATAAGGCTCCTTCCATCTAACACTAGTAAGTAGTTATAATAGCAAGAGACTGACTCCATGTGGGGAAGCAGTTGAACTGGGACTAAAGGAGGAGCATTACAAGGAGACATATTTGGATGCAGCGTAAGGAAGGGTAGGTAGAGGTCCTGTTCTAGCCGTCAGAGTGGCCCGGTGGGGAACATGGCCACCCTGGGAGGGAGGGAGCTGCCTGTCGATGAACGTATACAAGGGAAGAGGCCGCTCTCATTTTCTGAGGCCCTAGTAATAACAGACACGGTACTGAACACCTTACCTAGGTCATCTTTAGGTCCTCACCGCCCTATCACGTGAGCACTACTGTCCCCAGCTTACAGATGAGGAAACTGAGGCTCAGAGAGAGGGACCCGCAGATGGTTATGCAGATGGTAAGTGGGGGAGCCGGGACTCACACCCAGACCTGTGCCTCTCCGAAGCTCGGCTTGGACCCTACATCTACTGAGCGCCTGCCGTGTGGCCGGCAGGGACCACTGAGTCCTGGTCCTCGCCCCTGGGGAGGTCACATTCCAGGAGCAGTGAGACAGCCCGGAGCGGTGGGTGTTGGACTAGAACCAGACAAGGATGAGGGGAAGCCGAGAGTGAGCTGGGGTCAGGGCGATCCGGGACGGCCAGGGACGGCCACTTGGAGCTGGTGGCACCTGAGCTGAGACCTGAAGGGCAAGGAAGCACAGAGAACAGGATGAAGAGCTGGGCAAGCCGTGCTCTGGGCACAGGGAACCACAGCTGCAGAGCGCCTGGGGAGGGTGGAGCAGGGGAAGGCCAGTGGGGGAGGAATGGAGTTCCACCTCATTTGCCGTGACTGGAGGATTTTAAACCGGCGATGCGCTACAGGCAACTCTTACCAGCTCCAGAAACCACCTCTTAAATCTCCAAGACTTTTGCAAGCAGGTGTTAACAATTAGCAGCTTGAAATCAGTCTCAGAGGGAGCATTTACACCACAGAAAGTGGCAAACACCGCTTATCATGCTCTGTCTGTGGGGTGGCTGCACTGTTTACCTGCACAGCACCGGTTGTAGGCAGGAAATGGGAGATTGGGTTTGCACTTTAGGAGCGCTCTCTCTGGCCGCTGGGTGGGGAGCGGCCTGCAGGGGACAGAGGAGCTGGGGGACCAGCAGGGAAGGAGCTGCACTGGTCCATACTGGAGAGATGGGGGTTGGGACCAGGGTGGGCCAGTGGATGGATCTGAGTGATTTTGGAAGCGGAACCAGTGGGCCTTGCTGAGACCTTCCCTGGTGCAGAGCGAGGATGGGGGTGGAGGAGCCAGGCTGGGGGGTCTCCCAGGAGGAGAGTCCCCCTGGGCCCTGGGACTCGCCTCCTCCTGTACCCAGGGTGGACAGAAGGGGAAGGGACAGAGCTCTGAGAGTCTGTCTCAGTGGAGGGTCCCGGGGATCTAAGCAGTGTCAGGTCTTAGCACCTCTCCAGCTGAATAAACGGGCCAGCGCCCAGCCCCCACACCTGCCACCCCCGCAAAACTGCCTTTGGGGGCTGACCCCAGCAACTGCACTCCCTGGCTTCAGCCCCTCCTTTGTCAAAACTCTCTCAGGAAAGGGTCCTGAGATGATAGATGTTTCCCTTCAACCCCTGCTCCTAAGATAAAGCCTGAAAATTTTCTTCATACCCTTCTAGACTTTCTTCTGAGCGAACACACACACACACACACACACACACACACACGTTAATTTTTAAAAATGAGATGATGCTAAGTGTTACATGTAGATTATCTCATTTCATCCTAGGTGCCACTCTCTCCACGTTGTATTTCAGGAAGCTCAGGCTCAGAGAGCTTACGTACTTTCCCTGAGGTCACACAGCGGGTCGTCCGGCCTGGCTCTGCAGACTCGCTCTGCACCCTCGCCCTCGCCCTCTCTGGCTGCTGGGGAAGGCCCGCCAGGTCCTCGGTGGGGGTCCTGGGGCCGCAGGGCTGTGGGGGTTGGAATTCTGGGCCGGAGGCCTGGTCTGTCTGGCCCGTCCTTCTGCTGTGCCCCGAGACTCAAGCTCTGGGGTCAAATTCCAGCCCCAGGAGTCCTTGTTAAGATGGGTGTTTTTAAAGGGAGGCGAATTCTGTTGTCATTGAATTGTGGCTGTGCCCTTGAAGTGGGCCCCCAGCTCCCAAGGTTCCCAGCTGTCTGGACAGACAAGACCAGGGGATGGAGGAGGGTTGGGAGGCCTGAGACCTGGGCCCCTCACCAGCTCTGCAACCTTGGCAGTTCCCGCCTCTTTCGGCCTTGGTCTTCTCTCTCCTAAAGTTTCTTTCAGCCCCGGCATGAACCCCTGGCTCCCCACCTAAACGGGGAGGGCGGAGTCTGTAGCTGGCTGGGGAGGGGGTGGGGGCAGGAGGAGGAGGAGGAGGAAGAACCAGAGCAGTGAGGGGGGCTCTGAGGCAGGAAGTAGAGGAGGAAAGGAACGAGGTGGAGCTAAAGTGCAGGTTCTGGAGTCTGCAGACCTGGGTTCAAATCCTAGCCCAGGACCCGGCAGGTGCAGGGCCCTAGGTCAGAGGAGCCACAGTTGGCTCACGTTCTGCGTTGCTGACCAGAAATTCTTAATTCTCTGAACAGGGAGCCCAGCGATTTCACGTGCACCGGGCCCCACAAAATAGGGCGCCGGCCCCTGCCGCCAGTTATCATTGGCCTCGTGCCCCTGGCAGCTTCCTTTGCCTTCTGGGCCCTCGGTTTCCTCATCTGCAAAATGGAGCAACACTTCCACTCCCTTGAGGATTGTTTTGAGATGTAAAAGAGAGGCTGCAGGCAGGGGGCCAGGCAGGGCGAGTCCGTGATGGGGCCCATCCCTGGCAATTCGGACAGTCACTCTTTAGGGCCCGACAGGAGCAGCCGCAGTCTCGCCCCAGCACTCCCTGGGTACTGCTCAGTGCCCGGACTAGGGACACGCCCCAGCGGCAGCCACCCAGAATCAGGGAGAAGGAGGTCGAAGGGCGAGCGCCAGCACAGGCCAGGGAAAGTGGGCAGCCAGCAGCGTGGGGCATCAGGAACGACCCCGCCTTGCCTACCCGTGACCAAGCTGGAGAGAAAGGACAAAAACAGCCCACGTTTCCCCCGAAGTCCCCAACGCTTCTCCGCCCCTTCTCCTCAGGGGCTGCACCCCGGAGGCAGGAAAAAAGGGGAGCCCAGAGCCACAGAGACTCTGGCCCTTGGCCCACAGGTGGATCCCGCAGCGGACCTGTCAGGAGCCCAGGGGCCGGCATTGTGATGTCACGGCCCCGTGGTGGCTCTGTGCTCCTGGACTTGTGAGTGAGTCACCCGGGCCCCTTCCTCCTCCCTGTGCTCACGTAGGTACGTTCGATGCTTGGGGACTGGAAGAGCTGAGCATGCGGCCCCTCCCCTTCTCTCCTTGCTCCTCCCATGGGCTGGGGCTGGTCCAGGAGATGGCCAGTGGGTGGCACCTTTAGGGAGACTTCTTTTGGTCATAACTGGGAGCCAGACTCAGGCGAGTGGCCCAGGAACTCTTTGCAAGCCTGGGTCAGAACTGCCTGTTCGCTAGGCCACCTTCCCGGCTTGACCATGAGCCTGTTCAAAGTGTCCGTGTCGGTCTCCAGTCTAGCTTGCTCTGTGATGTGGGTTAAAGGCATACGTGGGTAGAGGGGAGGGCGTGGGGATGGGTAACACAGGTGCCTTCTCTCTGCGGGGGCAGCTTTCCGAGCCAGCGCCCAGCCCTGACACTGGGACTCAATCCTGGATGCCGTCAGAAACCAGCACCTGTTGGAGGTCCCAGGCATCTGGGTGCCCTTGGGGCTTGGTGGTGGTGTGTCTGCCCCACTCCTGGGCAGCAGGGCTGTAGTGCCGCTAGGGACTGGTGTGTTTGGCCTCTCCCAAGCTGGGGTGCAGCTCAAAGACCCCAGACTTTGGATTCACTGAACCCCAAGTCCAAGTCCAGGCCTGCTGCATGTCCTTGAGCTGGTCACTGGATCCCCTCTGAGCCTCCGTTTCCTTTTCTATGAAGGGGCAGTGTCACCTGGCTTCCAAGGACCGTCAGGAGCATCAGAAGGACAAAGCTGTTGCCCCGAGTGTCACTGTCCCCATTCACCTTCTTCCTGCCTGGCCCACATGGCCCTCGTCCTCCAGGGCGGCCTGGGATGGTGAGGGCAATGCCAGGGACCATGGACACAGGCCAGGGGGCGGGCCTGAGCGACGCTGGTGACAAGGACACAAACCTGCAGGTGCTGTTGCAGGAACTCTGCCAGCTCCAGGCCAAGTACGAGTTTTGCCAGGCCCCGCTCCCCTCCCCCTCCGTCACCGTCCCAGCACCACCTGCAGTGGGCTCTGGGTGGCTGGGACTGAGCCAAAATGCCAGGCGCCTGGTGCCTGGAAGTAAGTGGGGAGGGGCTGCCGAGGGGAGGGGGCGGGGCTTGCTCCTGTCCTGTGACCTCAGGCCCTGGGCCAGTCTCAGCCCTGCTCAGGCACCGTCTCCCGTCATGAAGGGATGGAAGGGCTGTGGGCGTCCACCCCTGAGCCCCTGTCAGCCCAGCCCCCATAAAATCAACCTGCAAGATTGTCACCTGGGTCTAGTGGAGACCTGTGTCCTAACCAACGCCCCCCACCCTTGGGGGCCCCCCAGTCTAAGGTTGCCCACAGGTGCCTGAATTAGGTGCAAATGGACGTGTCTGAGCCATTCGTAAGGAAACCGGCCCAACCCTTCCATCAGACTCTGTAAGGGCCGCCCGGCCCCAGTACGGCTTGGCCTGTGGCTCACAGGGCCCCACACAGTATTTGTAGGAAAAGACTATTTTTTCCTGCCTTTCCAGGGTTGTGTGGGTGAGAAAATGGGGCCTGGGAGGAACAGCCGCTGGCCCTGGGTCACTCTGCCCTCACTCAGAGACACCCCCATGTTGGCTCCACCCACCCGCGGGGGCAGGCCTGCTCCGCCCGCTGCCCTTGACTGCTGCTCTCGACCGGGCCCAGAGCCGCTCAGACTGGAGATTCCTCTAGCCAAGGGCGTCCCCTGAGAGTCAGAGGCGGCTGGGGCTGCTGGGACCCCCAACTCCAGCCTGAGTGCTCACGGTGTGCTCGATTCCCTGGACGGAGTCCTGGCCAGTCTGGGAGGGACGGGTTCTCATGACCCCCCATTACAGAAGGGCACAGAGAGGTGAAACACTGCCAGGTCACCAGCCAGCGGGGGCTCAGCCCCCCGCCACCTGCTCGGTCTCCAGGAGAGGCACCGCAGGCCCCCGCACCAGAATGACCCGGCTCCACTCCCCCCGGGTCCCTACCGCTTTGTGGCTCAGCCCGCTCGGCAGTAACCTGTGGACGGGGAGGCTGAAGCCAGCGGCCCCCTGATGGCGGGCCGTGGCCGGCCGGCCAGCACAGCTCTGAGCAGGAGGCCACAGAGGACGGTCTCGTCAGGGGTCCCGATCTGGAAACCTCCCAGCCGCATTCCCACTCTGGCTCACGCCTCGCCCCCGCCCCCCCCCCCCCCCAATGTCTCCACAGGCAGAGGAAACTGAAGCGAGAGGTCGAGAAGCACAAGCTCTTTGAAGACTTTCTGATTAAGGTCCTTGAGAAAATCCCCAAGGGTATGTCCGCAGCTTCCTCAGAAAGCCTGTCCTGTCTTGGCCCCTTCCTGGGCTCAGGACCGGGGCACCGGCCGAGGTCTTCCCGAGCCTGGAGCTCCAGTCGGAATAGGCGTCCACGGAGGCCGATGCCACCGTGTTTAGGACCGCACAGGTGCTGAGCCAGCCTGCCCGGGGAGCCCCAGGCCTGCCAGCGCCGGCCACGTGGCCCGCGGCAGGTTCCCGGGGACTTGGCCTCGGTAGCTGGACAGTGGGAACGGCCACAGGGAGGGGCACCAGGCGAGCGCACCCTTCCTACGCACGCAGCACGGGGCCCGGCGTTTAGGCAGCGCCCAGTAAGCGCGCACTGTTATCCCTCCTGTTTCGTTTGTCTTTGGGCTTGGTTTGTGTTTTGCTCTTGTCGACTAAAATTACACAGCCATCTGAATGCATTTATGTATTTTGTGTTGCATTATCCTGATTTATGCCAGAGTCCACTGTGACACGTGCTGGAAACTTGGGGGGTGGGGAAGGGAAGGGGAGACACACATTTTTACTGTCATCATATTATCATTTTAACATCATCAATAATCGTAAAAATAACCATCACCATTTACTAAATATTTAATCTGTGCTAAACTCCTTAGTAAATCTTGTTTTACTCTGCCATATGAGTTTCTGGGAACTGTGTATCCGGGCTCAGAGAGGTTAAGGGAGTTGCCCAAGGTCTCCCAGCCAGGAAGTGGTGGGGCTGGGCCTCAGACTCGGGTCTGACTTCGTAGCCACTGCACTAGGTGCTGTGGAGCTGCGGGAGCCCCGAGAGCTCAGCCCTGGAGGTCAGGGAAGGCTTCACGGAGGAGGCGGCTTCTCAGGAGGTACGAGGTACCGAGGTACCGAGGAGTTCTACAAAGGGGAGTGGCACCTCGGGCAGAGGGAAGAGCACACATTTAGGCTGGAGTCACGTCCTGCAAGGTGGGTTTGGGGATGGTGAGCTCCAGTGTGCTGGAGCGCCAGAACCTGGCAGGGGCTGCCGGGAGCCATGCCGGGAAGGTGGAGTAGCACCAAAGAGCCTTGGGCACCAAGCCGAGGAGGGGTGCAGGGCTCCAGGCCGAGCATGGGGCTTCAAGCAGACCCAGCACCCAGTGCTGCTTCTGGCAGCTTCCTGGTTCAGGGTCTTCCTAATTCAGCACCTCAACCCACCCAGAATGCGTGACTATCAGAGCTGGAGACTGCACCACGCAGGGTGGCTACAGCTCCTGTCCCCTTCTTCGAGGCTCCCCCAATCAGCAGTTTCTCCTCAGGGGCAGTCTCCCACCTCCCTGGGCAGCCTGGATGCAGAATCTGAGACCCCACTAGGCAGCCTTTCAAATGTTGATGCTTCTTTGGAAGAGGCGGGAGGTAGGTAGCTGCTGGACCAGCCCTGCCCCATTAGTGTCGGTTGCCTGGCATCTCTCCACTCTGGGGCTCCGGCTGGAATTCCGGGGCAACAGCAGAAGTCCCATCGACCTTATTAGCATCAGCCACTGCAGGGGGCAGGTAGGAAGCCCACCCATCCCCCATGGCGCTGTCTCCTTAGGCTACAGTGACGGGGAGGAGCCGGAGGAGGCCCCGAAGGAGGGCCTGGTGGAGGCCCTGGTGGAGCACTATGGGAAGCTCTTCACAGTCAGCCGGCTCGTCCAGAAGCACCTTGAGGCCTTCTCCAAGATGAGCCGGGCCGTCCACCAGAGCCTGGAGGCCTTAGAGGAGAGCCATGACGCTCTTATCCCGGTAACAGCCACCTGCAGCTGGCCCATTCCCCTTGGCCCAGAGAAGTGGGGTGATAGGGACCCCCTTCCCACACCCCCCACACCCCGCCCCTGCACCCTCAGGAAGGCCTGGAGCAGTGGTGGGCTGCTGGGCGGCTCCGGGTGGGGCTGCCACTCCAGAGACTTGCTCCGGAGGCTTTTCTCTCCCCCGCTGCTGGCTGGCTGGGGGTTTCCCCTGAGGCTCAGCTTATGTTTCAAAGGTGTTCTTCGTGGTAGAAAAGCCATGAGTTCTGGATTCAGACAGACCGGGGTTCAAATTCCAGCCCAGCCTCTGACTAGATGCATGACCCTGGGCAAGTCTGTACCCTCTCTGGGCCTCAGTTCCTCCAGTTTCTTCCTCTGTCAAGTGGAGGCAGTGCAGCTTAGCGGCTAGGCTGTTGAGAGATAGCGAAGTCAAACTGTATCAAAGTAAGTGCCCCCCCGAGGAGTTCTCTCTCTCTCTCCCTCCCTCTCCCATCCCCCTCCCTCTCCCTCTCCCCCTCTCTCCATTCTGGTTAATCTTGTAATAAACAGAACTTTTACCAGGAAGGATGGGCGTCGTAGGCAGAAGACACTGCTCCGTCAGAGGCATGGCATGAAAAATGTGCCTGCTGTAGGCGGGGCCCGGGGACAGAGGCGAAGGGGACACCAGAGGGAGAGGAAGAATGACAGGTTGATTGACTCTTGCAAAGGACCACTGCAGGACATGTCCAGTGAGCCTCTTCCCCCTGGTGGCAGCACGGAAACCTACACCCTTCTGTACTTTTTTTTTTTTTTTTTTTGAGAACCGGCCCCTCTGTGGGTGGGGGCCCTGGGCAAGCATTTTACATGCTTTATCTCATGTCGGCCTCACCCCAGCACCTGCGGGCAGGTGCTCCTACTCCGAGGGCCGAGACAAGGGCAGTGTTGTTAGTGCGGAGTTAGGTCCCATTTTTATTTAAAATGTCACTATTTTGTTCATCACAGACATTTTTTTGCATTAACTTTGATTTTTAAATAACACTGCATTAAAATATTTATCTTATGGCTGAGGGTTTCTTTTGACACCCTCTTACATTTTGCCCCTCAGACCCAGCCAAACTGTTCTTGCCACTTTCGAGGAGAGGAGACTGAGGCCCAGAGAAGTGAGGACACTTGAGTCTGTCCTGGGTCTTTGGAAGACACCCCGTGAGGCCTGGAGGTGGGACTGTGCTCGGCACAGCCTGGCCCCCAGGGCCCTCCCAGTGACCCCTGAGGCCAGGAGGGCACAGGCCGTGGCTCTGGTTACGACGGGGGATAAGGCGCTCTGGGGCTGAGTTGGGATTCCAACCCCGTCGGCCTGGATGTGCCCCCTGCCGCGTCTCCTGTGCCCTGAATGGCCCTGACCTCCTAGAATGTTCTCTGCCTCCCACACCCATCATCACGCAGACCACCCTGGGCAGTGCTTCTTGGGACCTGGGCGGGCTCGCTGCACCAGAGTGACCTGGCCATTCTCCCCGCAGAGCCTCAAGGTCCAGCTGTGTCAGCTGCAGAGGAGGTGTGACCGCAGGCAGTGGCAGCAGTGGCAGTCAGCACAAGATGTCACCTACCAGAAAGACACGGGCAGCTGTAATGTGAGTCCAGTGAGCTGGCCCAGGGGTGGGGGCAGGAGCTGGGGGCTGCTGTCTCCTCACCCCCCAACACCTCCCTCCCCACACTTACCCACTTGCTCTCCATGGTGACTATTAGCTTTCAAAGGGCTTCTCTAAGATGGGGTGAGTGTTACTTTAAGATGGGAAAACAGGGGCCGCAGATAGTTATGGACCCAGCTCTACCAAGAACCAGAGCTGGTCCCCCTGTCCCAGGGTCTGGCATGTGCTGGGTGCTTACTCAGCGCTTCTGTCCTGCTTGTGATTAATAATAAAATAATAACGTTTAAGTGAGTGCCTATTGTGCACTATCTTCAGTAATTCTTGGACCTCGTTGACCAGGGCGTGCTTAGGCCTACCCCAAAATAGGCACTCCTGACTGGTCTTGATTCTTACCCATTCCTGTTGCACGGATGAGAAAAGCTATGCTCAGATGTGTGAGCCATGGTTGAAGTTCACGACTAAGGGCCAGGATCTCTGACCTCAAGCTCTCAAGCTGTTTTTTCCTGGACTTGGACATGTGAACCAGTTACCTGCCCAGCCCCTAGGCCCCACCTAGTCCTCCAGCCTCAGGGGCTGCTGGGAGGACACAGAGGGAGGCCCCGGGCACAGGCCTGCTCTGGGCACCCTCTGCCTGGGCAGGTCGGCACGTGTAAATGTAAGGCCTCCTCCGGCCCGTGGGATCCTAGCTTGGAAGCCGTGAGAGTTGGGGCCTGCAGGCTGCTGACCTCCAGCCACGGAGCTTAGACAGGGAGCAGATTGGCCACAGTCTCTAGAGCCCCTTCTGGTTCTGGGTCTTTTTAAGGTGGGAAGCAAGGCTGCTGCAGCTGAGCACCACCCTGGAGGCCTGAAGTCCAGCCCTCTGGCGCCACCTGGAGTGGGCAGTGCTGGGTTCCCACAGGCTCCTGCCCAGCCCCTGCCCCAGGTAGGGACCGCAGACCCTGGGGGGAGGGGGCTGATCGAAGCCCCTTTGGGGGTGGGGCACGGACCAGGATGAGAAGGTGCTCCTGGCTCCAGGACGCCTGACCCGAGTGAACTGGGGCCAGGGACCAGCGGGTGCCGGGAGAGGGCTTGAGCCACTGCCTCCCTATCCTCCTCTTCCTCCTGTTTCTCCTCCTTTTCTTCTTCTTCACCCTCCCACTCTAACTCCTCCTCCCCTTCCTCCTCCTCCCCTCCTCTTCCTCCTGCAGAACCAGCTGCTCAACTACCTGCACACAGTCATCAACAACATGGCCCAGCAGTGCTGTTCCTCTGCCCGCGTCCTACCTGAGAGCATGGGCCTCTTCTCCAAGCTGGACCTGATTCAGGTGACGACTCTCTGCCTCCCAGGCCGGCCCCAACCTCAGCCTGTCCTGGGCCCGGGCTCCTGGCGCTCTTGCGTTTAGCCCCTTCTCAGCCCCTCCCCCCACAGCCTCACGGGGAACCGGTGCCATGGGTCTCCAGGCCTCTCTTCGTCTCTCAACAAACTCGTGATGAGCACCCATTAGGTGCAGGGTCGGAGGTGGGTGTCAAGGAATTCCTGGCCTGCCTGGTCTTTATGCGTAAGCCCACCCTGGCACACCCCACCACACACACACAGTGTACACACCCTTAAAGACATGCCCGTGTGCTCTCTGCACACCTAACAACACACACAAACCATACACTGACACACCTGTGAACTCATGCACTAAAATGCACACGGAAGACATCATGCATTCACACGTGTGCGTGCTGGGAGGGGGCATTTCAGTGGCTGGGGGAGCCTGTGTGCAGGGTGCTCCGTTTAAACCGAAGTCGGAGGAACCTTCCCTCCTTGGGCGCCACCCCCCCGGGGAGAAGCCCCACCGTTCATCATGCTGATGCTGCCGGGACAGAGAACAGGTGACCAGGTCAGCGTCCTCTGGCCACAGAGCATGCCTTTTACAATTTTTAGTAGTTTTACTATGCTATAATTCGGATACCATCGCATTTCTCACTTCAGTGTTTTCAGTACAGAATTGCACAGCCACCATCAGTATCGAATTCCTGGACATTCCATCACCCCCCAGTGCACTTTGCACCTGGCTGCTTTCCCGTCCTAGAGTGGCTGCCAGGTCCGTCCGTGTGGCAGCGTGAGCAGCCCTCCACCCCCGTGAGTGCCTGGATAACAGCCCGTTGTTATGGACAGCCCACGCTATGTTTACTCGGACGTTTGGGCTGTTTCTGACTAGTATGAGTAAGGCTGCCATGAACACTCATGAACTCATTTTTGTATGGACATGTCTTTTCAATTATTTTGGGTACATACTCAGGAGTGAAATTTGAGTCATGTGGTAACTCTGTATTTAACATAATATGAAGCACCTGCCATGCTGTTTTCCAGAGTGGCTACATAACTTTACAAGCTTATGGTCATTATATGAGGCTTCCAATTTCCCTGCTTCCTTGACAACACTTGGTATTGTCTGTGTTTTGTACTTTAGCCATCCCGATGCATCCTGATGGGTGTGAAGTACTGTCTCGTGGTGGTTTGGATTTGCATTTTCCTTATGACTCAATGTTGAGCATTTTTTCATAAGGTGTTTATTGACTGTTTGTATATCTTCCTTGAAGAAATACCTATTCAGATCCCTGCCCAGTTTTTCATGGGATCATTTGTCTTTATTGTTGAGTTGTAAGAATTCTTTGTCTATTCTAGATACAAGTCCCTCATACCTTATATGATTTGAAATATTTTCTCTCATTCTGTGGATTGTCTTCTCATATTGATGGGGCAGAAAGCTGTTCATTTTCTTGAAATCTGATGTCGCTGTTTTTTGTTTACATGCGCTTTAGGCATCAAACCTAAAAACCTATTGCTTACCTAATCTGAGCTCGTGAAGATTTATGCCTACGTTTCTTTGTAACAAGTTTATAGTTTTTGCCCTACTATTTAGGTTTACGATCCATTTTTAGTTATTTTTGCGTATTTTACAAGGTAGGAATCCAATTTCATTCTTTTGCCTAAGGATGTTTAGTCCTTATACCATGTGTTGAAAAAAAAACCTATTCTTTCTCCATGGAATTGCCTCCTCGCCTTTGCCAAAAATCAGTGGGCCATCCGTGTGGGTTTGTCTCTGGGCTCTCTAGTCTGTCCCCCTCTGGTCTGGTTGTCTGTCCCCACGCCAGTACCGCACTGTCTTGACTGCTGTAAGTTTTGTCGTAAGTTTTGAAATCAGAAGGAGCCAGTCCGACGGCCTAGTTCTCCGTTTCTGAGGTTGTTCGACTCTTCTAACAGGCCCGCGTGTCTTACACCACGTGTGGATGGGTGGTGGCTGGGCTTCAGGCGCGGTGTGACCCGAGGTCAGCGGCACCCCTGAGGCCCCGGCCTTGCCACCCTCCCGTGTCTGCCGTCTTCAGCCTGGGCGTCCCCCTGAGTCATAACTGGCTTTCCCCCGCGTGAGGCGGGCTCAGTGGAGACGTTCAGACAGCACCCCCGGCTCCTCTGGACCCCGCGCTGCCCAGCAGCAGCAGTCAGCGGGGAGCAAGCCTGCAGCCCAACCAGTCGACAAGGACTGGTCACGAGAGTGTCGCAGGCTGTGTCAGGGCCACCGTGTGGCAGAGCCTGTCAGCAGCATCTGCTGGGGCTTCACTCCTGGCATGAATGATGCAATTTTGAATGAGGGCGCGTCTGTCTAAATAGTCACAGTGTATCCATTTCATCTCCTCCCCAAGAAAAAGGAGGAATGTCCGGGGCTCCCGGAGCATGGTCTCCTGTAATGATCACTCAGCCCAGGTGTAGAGCCACCTGCCCGTGCTCAGCACCGTGCCAGGCAAAGCGTTGGAGGGGGGAGCGGGCGATACAGGGTCACCTGTCCTTGAGAAATGAACGCCGCTCAGAGAGGGGGGCCAGGGCAGTCAGAGTGTGCTCCGTGGAGGAAGCAGGGGTCAGAGGCAACCACACTCAAGAAGCCACACAGCAACGTCAACTCTGCGTCCTCCAGCTCTGCCCGCACTGGGCCGCGCAGCCTCAGGCAAGTCTCTTAGCCTCTCTGCCCTAGGTTTGCTCATTTGCCAGTCATCACCGGGACCACGCCCACTTCAGGGCCCTTGCGGAAGCTAAAGGAGATGTAAGCAGATTTTGACGGTGCCTTGGAAGTGGTGTCAAGGATGTAAAGAACCGTCAGGTGAGAGATTTGCTTTTCCCCCCAGGAATTTATGTTGGACAAAAAGGAGACTATGAGATTTATCTCACTGCCATGGAACCCGGAGTGTGCTGCTCAGGTGAGAGCCCCGAGGGCCAGGGACTCGGAAGTCACCCCAGACCCTTCAGGAAATGTCCGAGGAGCCAAGATTTAATCCCAAGGACACCCCTCCCAGCACCCAGACTTCGGAGGGCTCCGGCCGGTGCCCACCCGCCGGCGGACACAGGCCTGCCAGCATCACGACTGCCTACTGACCTGCTTGGCCTCCTGTTCTCACTGCCAGCGCCCCTGGGTGGGTGGGAGCCAGCCCGGGGGCAGTGAGAGTGTGTCGGGTGCCGCCCCCCACACTGGGGGATTGGCAGGGATTAAAGTGAGCTCTGTCTGGGCCCACGGGTAAGAAAGAGGGGTTCCTGAGTTGGAGGCAGCTGCCAGGCGGGAAGTCCTAGTTGGAGACCTGCACCAGGAGCCGGGCCTCCCTTTCTGTCATTGGTGGGTTCATCTGAGACCCAGGTGCTTCAGATGTAGGGAGTGTCTGAGGCACAAGAACTCTCATAATGAGCCACCCGGGGCTGCAGGATGCACGGGAGCTCGCCTTGCACACAGCAGATGGGGAGCACTGAATTTGTGGGAGCATTTCATCACCAAGCTGAAGCCTTCTGCCCACACCTTGGAGGGTCCCAGAGCCCCTGGACCGAACGCTATTCTTAGGGAAGCCCCGGCAAGGTGGAGCCCCTTGCAGGCTGGTTTTCCCACCTGCACAATCAGGGGAGAGGATGTGTAAGGGAGTCCCCTCTCCAGGCTGATGGTCTAGGTCAAGGTTGGACAAGCTTAGTCTGCGTGGAAGGCACTGGTTTGGTTTCATTGTGTCCCTGGGGTAGAATCATCCTAGCAACCGCCGCAGTGGTGAAAAGCATTCACCGCTGGAGGTCTGCTGATGTTAATTCCTACAGGTAGAAGTTCAGAGCTAAGAGCCACATTTGAATGGCAAGCTGAGCTGAGTCAGCAAATTAACTTTCCGAGAGATGTTTTGGAAAAGGTGCTGCTACTCAGCGAGCTAACACCGAGGGTCCGTGGTACCCAGGTGCAGGTGGGAGAGGGGAACGGGAGGCTCGGAGGGGGAGCAGGACTTGTCCACCGAGTTAATTAGGGAGCTAAATATAATAAAGGTGGCTGAGTGTGGTCACGTGTTTTTTTTTTTAAAGAGAGGGGAAGGGAGGGAGAAAGGCAGGGTGCATGCCCACAACCCAGGCATGCACCCTCACCGGGGATCAAACTGGAAGCTTTCGGTGGTCAGGCCGGTTCTCAATCCCCTGAGCCACCCCAGCCGGGCTGTGGCCGGGTCTTAAGAGCAGCTGAAACAAAGGGGATCTGAGGAGGCAGCATCATTCTGAGTTTCTGGTCTCACCGGCCTTTGTGGCAAAGAGGATATCTCAGCTGGGGCTTGAGTCAGGTTTTGAAAGGAGGAAGTGGGGGAGGGAGGAAGAAAGGGAAGGAAACACAGGAGGAAGGACTTCCAGTTTGGCCTCAGGACGAAGAACCTGACAGGTAGTCCGAGAAGGTGGGCTGGGAGACCCCCGTGGGGTCCCAAAGGCCAGGCCACGAGGTTTGGCCTCTAGTCACACACGAGGATGTCTTAGTGCATTTGTGCTGCTATAACAAAAAACCGTGGACGGGGTGGCTTACACAACAGACGTGCATTTCTCACAGTTCTGGAGGCTGGGGGTCCAAGATCAAGGCACCAGCAGGTCCTGTGTCTGGTGAGAGCTTGCTTCCTCACTCACAGATGACTGTCCTCTTGCTGTGTCCTCTCCTGGTGCAAGGGGCAAGGGAGCTCTTTCAGGGCCCTTTTGTAAGGGCGCTAGTCCCATTCATGAGAGCAGAGCCCTCAGGACCAACCACCTGCCAAAGGCCCCAGGGGCACATCGGGGGTAAGGGTTCCAGGGAATCAGCTGGGGCGGGGGGGGGGGGAAGGAACATTCAGTCCATTGCAGAGACCCTCTCACGTTAGTTCATACTCCCCCAGTCCTCTCTCCCCACAACCTCTGCTTTCCAGGGAGATCTAAGTATCCCGTTAACCTCCCTGTACCGTGGGTACACGTTAGGCCAGTGATTCTTCGATGTGAACTCCCATCAGGAAGGCTCGTCACGGCACAGAGTGCGGCCCCGCCCCGGGGGCTTGGGACCCAGCAAGATCCCAGGTGATGCCGACGCTGCCCGTCCCAGCACCACACTTCGAGAACCGCTGCTTCAGAGTCACGGCCAACCCTCAACGCCTAAAACGGGGGTCTGAGCCACCTGGAGCACATCTGCCCTGCCTGGGCTCCAGGCCCCCATCTGCACGGTGGGGCTGGGCCTGCCATTCTGGGAGGGCCACCCCCACTCCATCGGACTGTCTAACCCCCTGCAAGGTGTTGGCTGTAACAGCCCCTTATGGGCCCAGGGCCTGGATCGCGGCTTTGTAGCTTTGCCGGCCAGGGCTCTGTGGAAAGCAGGCTGTCCCCCTGTCTCCTGCCATCCACCTGCCGTGCACCTGTGGTGCATCTGTAGGGCAAGTTCAGATGGGCTGTCACACTCCTTGGGAAGCAGGATGATCAGAACAGACACCCGGTGTGCCAGTGGCCCTGGTGGGCCATCAACCTAAATTGAACAAGGTCCCAGGTGGTTCTGATGCAGATGTGTCTCCAAGCAACAGGTGAGAAATAGTGGGTGTCGAAACGTGGAAAAGGAGAAAACCTGGTCCACATTTGCGTGGTCTTCAGTTGGGAATGACTTTGGAAGCACGAAAGCAGAAGTGACACCTGAAAATATGACCACAGAAAAATTAAACATACATCCACCTCAGAGCACACAAAAATACTTAAAGACAATAAACTGAAGGGACACGTTGAGAAATTGGAAAAAGGAACAAGTTTTGACATGAATTGTTCATATTCAGCAAATCAACGTAAGTAAAAATAGCCTATAAACATGAGAGACATTTCAGCCCGCTAAAAATAAAACTAAAGCATGTAATTTCTGCCCATCTCAAATGTTTAAGCAAAAATACTACTGCTCATAACTGAGGTTCTCCGACCCTGTGGTACCCTTTGCGAATAAACTCTCTGGAAAGCAGTTTGATAAGAGGTCTCTAGAGGGTTCAACACTGTTTCTGTCTTTGGCCCAGTAATTCTAGGTCAAGAAATTCAAGTTCGTAAAACCAGAGCTGTTTGGTTCTGAAAGCCCAACTCAACTGGGCTGAAGCCAAAAAGAGAAGGCATTGGATTTTTAAAAAATATTTTATTAATTTTTAGAGAGAGGGGAAGGGAGGAAGAGAGGGAGAGAAACCTCAACATCCATGGGTTGCCTTACAACGTACCCCAACCCTAAGCCCAGTCCTCCGCTAAATCCACTGAGCCACACCAGCCAGGGCTGCTTTGGGTTTTAAAGTTGAAAGGCCAGGACCCCGGCCTCACATGCAGTTAATTCAGGAGCTCATTGTCAACAGAATCTGGCCTGTCTTTGTCTTTGGGCTCTGCTGTCTACACATTGGCTTTATTCTCAGGCTCAGTGTAAACGATGGCACCTCTAACGATGAAGTCAGAGGAAGAGATGAAGTCAGAGGAAGAGACGGTGACTCTTCCCAGTAAGTCCCCGGGCAAGTCCCAGAGTTCATGCTGATTGGATGATCATGGGTCACGTGCCTCCCTTTAAGAAAACTCCTGATTGGCCAGGCCTAGGCTACCACATCCATTCTAACCAATCTCTGTCACTAGGAGGGATTCCCTGCTCTGACTGGCCAGACCTGGCTCAAATTTTTGTTTGAGTTTTAGTGAGACAAATGGCTGGAGGCCATTCCCCTGGGGCCCGTGGTGTGCGCCACATGAACTTCATGGACTGAAAGGAAGGGGCAGGCGCAGGTCCCCCAAAGGGACATCAGAGGGAGGTGGGGCCTGGAGCCCACCAGCGAAAGCAAGACGTTTGGTGCAGATGCAACAAGGCGGCTCTACAAAGGTGTCCGCCACGGTGTGGTTTATAGTAGCCAAACTGGAAACAACCTAGATATCTCAGAGGAAGAGTTCAAGAAATGATAGTTCTGCAACCATAAATTAGAAACCCCAAAATACTTAACGTAAGGAAAAATAGGATGTAAACTAAGTGAAAAAGGGGGGGATTTTTAAAAAGTAGACTATGAAAAAGCACAAATTGGTAGCTATAAAATAGACTTGTGGGGGGAATCACTGAAATGATATAACTGTTGTACACCTGAAACTAATATAAACTAATACTGAATGTCAACTGTGATCAAAAAATAAAAATTTAAAAAATGTAAGCAGAAGTTAAAACAGCCAGCTGTCTACCTAGGATGGCTCGGCTGAAGTAAGTCGAGTCCCATTTCTTTGCTTTATAATCTCTGCTCTATCACGTTGATACTGTTTGAATGAAGGGATGCGTAGGGCAGTGGGGCGGGGACACGAACCAAAGTGAGCTGACATGATTCAAAATCATTACAGACTTACTCTAAAAATTTTAAAAATAAAAAAAGTAGACTCTACACCCAATTTGGTAAAAATCATCTGTATAAAAGAGAAGAGAGAACCAGACTAAAGCGGTGTTTCCAGATGGGAGAAGCCTGACCCTGGGGAGGAGTGGGCAAGCATTAGACCCACCGGGCAGGGGAGATTGGGCTAGTGGTCCCAGGTCCCCACCCCCCTGTGGTGGCATCCACATCCACGTTCTCACCAGAGGCTCATGGTGGGCAGAGTATTCAGCACCCCCTCTTTGCATTGGCCACGTGTCTGCCTTTGGCTAATAGGGTGGTAGTGGCTTACGACTCAAGCAGAGGCTTAAAACATCCTTGTGCAGTGGGGCTCCGCCACCATGAGCTTAGTCACGAGCCTCGGGAAGCCCCCTGGTTCCAGAGGAATGAGCCACGTGAGGCAGATAAGGACCCAACCCGAAGCATACGTCCACCGAAATCGTCCAGTTCTCAGCCAGCCTGCAGGCCAGAGGGAGAAGGAAATGCTTATCATGGGAAGCCAGTGAAGTCCGAGCTTGTTTGTCGTGCAGCGTGACAGCGATAGCTGCCTGATACACCAGCACCCCAAATCCCGGGCCCCCTCGGACCCCAGGATCACCAGCCTCTGGAGACCAGTCAACCTGATGGACATCAGCAGTGGTTAGCGCTGCTAACCACAGTGCTTAGTCGGCAGGGATTAGCTCTGAACTGTGGAATCCCAATTGTTTTTATTCTCCCTTATTTATTTTTTCCAACGATTTTGTAATGAGTATGCTTAAACTTTATAACCAGAGAAAGTGCTTTGTTCAGAAATGAGGAAAATTCATTGGAAACCCACTCTTCTTGGCATCTTACTGATCCTAACCTTCGGTGTCTCCAAGGACAAACTAATGATCAAGTCCTTCACCCACGGGAGCGTCTTCAAGTCTCTGAAGGCCAGATTCTTGGCTCTCTGCACATTGTCTTCAAGTGTGGCAGCTCTGGTTTCTTGAACGTGGCCCCGCTCTCTGAATGGGTCTCCTCCACGTGTCTCTAGCCGTATGTACAACATGGCGTCCCCATCTGAGTTCCCTTCTCCAGGTGAGGAGGTTGGCCAGACGGGAATGACGGGAAACATCTGGAAGGGGCTTCCTTGCCGTGGCCCCAGCTGTAGAGGTACTGGGCATTCCAGCCCTCCTCCCAGGCTCTCATCTGGGGGACGTGCCCTGCCCAGCCCTGCTCTTGACCCAGGAATGGCCAGGCTACTTTGGGGCTTGTGCTCTGAGGCTGGAAATGTGGCCAGCCCACGGGCACGTCTCAAATGTCTTCAACCCTGAACTACCTGGCCCTGGTGTGTCCCCCGCTGTTCCTGCTAGGCGTCTCTAGAAGATGCTACAAGGTTTCCATGCCCTTTGGTGCCAAAGCTCACTTATCCCTGGCTGCCAGCTGCTCGGGCTGTCTGCACAATTCAGTACGAAGTGAGGTGCTGCTGTGTTCAGACCCCAGAGACAGGAGCCCTGGCTCCCCAACTGCACCGTGGATGAGGAAGTGTGTAGGCTGGAGCTTCGTCTCCTTGGCCCCTCACTCTCCGTGCCTCCCTCTCTGGGGGCCCCCTCGCACACACGGCAGGTGTTCGGGAGTGGACGAATGGGTGCACGTGAGTGAACCAAGACTTAGGCTCCTGATGGCTATCCCCATGGTTCAGAATGCGGAGACCACTGTGCTCACCGAGTCCTTCCTCCCAGCAACCATCAGCTAGGAAGCAGTGTCTCCCCAGCTCCATACTACAGAGGGGGAAGCTGTAGCTCAGCACAGTTATGTGGCTCTGCCAAGGTACCAGAGGCTGAGCAGGGACATTAACTCAAGTCCATGATGCCCAGGGAACAACTGGCACTGGAAACAGTTTGGTGTAAATAGAGGTAACGTGCACTGGGCACTTGCTGTGTGCCAGGAACCTCACTGAGCTTGTTGCCACTGAGGCAGCCGTCATACCAGCCCAGTGAGAGTGACTACCCCCACTGCACCCAAGAGGAAATGGAGGCTCAGAGAGGTTGAAGGCTTGCCTGAGGCCACACAGCCCAGGAGCCAGGTGCCACGTCTGTCTCCCTTGAGCTGGTGCCACCGGCTGAAGGTAGCGTAGCCATGCTATGAATCATGAACAGCAGGCAGGAGTCCATGGCTCAGTGTCAAATCTGTGTAACAGCTCCCAGAGATGACATCTTCCCCCTGTTTTTTTGAGCTGTAGTTGAGGAAAGATTCTATTACGCATATACTGAGATCCTGGGTAAGGCTGTTTTGTTTAAAAGCATCACTACTAAAAAGTTCTTTAAATATTGGGGTTTTTTTAACCCCCCAGATTGTCCAAGCCTCTCATTGAGTGAGGAATCAGAGGCCAGAGAGGGCATGGAAGTGAACTGAGGCCACACAGCATCGAGTGGCATAATCAGTCCAGCCTGGGGCTCAGCGTTGCTGCAAAACAGCCCAGGGCTCCTTCCACAGCCGGGTCGTGCTGGGAGGAGAGTGGGCCTCGGGCTCAGGGCTTGGTGTGATCCCGCATGAGGGTCCCTAGAGGCCTCAACTCACTCAGGATCCTCCTCCCTAGAGGCCTCAACTCACTCAGGATCCTCCTCCTGGGGACGCCGCATGCCGTGGGTGTGGGCTGAGACCAGGCCCCAGGCAACGCCGCCACAAGCACTTCCCTTCTCTCCCCAGCGGACTCCGCATCCGCACCCCACGTGACCACACCTGACTCAGTCATTCCTCCGCCAAGCGAAGCCTAGCACAGCCTGGCGTGAGCACTAGGTGAGGAGTCAGGAGTCCGGGGATCCAGCCCAGCTGGGCCACTTCCATGCTGAGTGAGCAGCATGGGCTGCTTCGGGCACCCCTCTGGCTTCCTGGGCTGTAAAACACGAAGTGCAGACGCTCTCCCAAAGCAATTAGGGGTGAGGGGAGTCCAGTGCCCACCCCCACCCCTCCTGCAGTCACATACTTGGTGATTTCAAACCCAGCTCTGGAGTCGGGCTGCCTGGATTGACTCCTACTGCGTGCTGTGTGAATTTGCCCCCATAAAGCAGAGGTGAGAAAATTAAGAAAGAAAGATAATATAGGTTGAGAGTTTAGGATAATGCCTAATACACAGTAGGTGCTCAGTAAAAATTAGCTATCAGTCTTATTGCTCCTTGAGCCTCCATTGGCCCCACCCTACCCACCTAGGAGATAGATGCACTTGGAAGATGGTGTCTGTTTGCCCTAGAGACTAGCCTGGCGCCTGGGGCCAGGCGGTGAGACTGGGGTGGGGAGCTGCTCAATACCTGCTCCTGGAAGTATTAACACCTGTAAAGGGCACTTGTAATGCTCTGTAGTCCCTTTCCCCACAAACCTTCTCCCCCTCCCCCCTCCCCCCACCTAACAATGCACCTCAAGGGCTGGTGAGTAAATGTTTAAATGACACATATTCCTCTGTTTGATATTTAGTAGTAACGAGCTGGCCGCGTGAGTCACAAACCTGGTCCTGAGGTACAGCCGCGCAATTCCAGAGGCCCGGAATCCACCACTCGGGAAATCCATTAATTCCACAAACATTAATTGAGTGCCTGGCAACCTAATGGTTCATGAGTTGGAGGGGGGTAAAACATTATTTAGAAACTACACAAGGGCAGTCAGTGTTTTAGACACGTGTTCCCTAAGTGTCCATCCTCTGACCCTGAGCAAACAATACTTTATGACCTCCTTTATGAATCAATGAGGGCCAGCTACGCTTCCAGAAGACCTCCATTTGCAGTTTTGGTCAAAAGCCTCTTGGCCTTTACACAAAAAAGACCTCTTTTTCTATATTGTGCTAACTCCTTCGTTAGTTAAAAGCTTTCTGTGTCTTTAAAAGGGGGCCGTACCCTATTAAATGGACCCAAAAGCATAGGCTGAAGGCGCATGAAGTCCCACCCACTTTCTGTGACGTTTAGTGCTCCGGCCTCTGATTGCTCGCTTCAGACGTCAATCGCGGGGCGTGTGTCTTGCTGGGACACAGTGGAGGTCTCAGCTCTGGTTTTCGGAGCGGTCGGGTGCATTCTCCTCCCCTGGCCCCCACGTCCTCGAAGCCCCCGCCGCCAGACCCATCGGCGAAACCAGCCAGTGGCTCCTGCGGCGCCCTCCCGCACCGGATCGCTCCTCGCTGGGGCGGGACCTGGCCCAACAGCTCCGGTCACTATGGTCAGTGGTCGTGGGGGGAGACCGGGAGAGCAGAAAGGGGAGGGGGCGAGCGAGGTAGGCGGGGTCGCCGCTGTGGCGCACGTGCACTCGCGGGACTAGGTTCGGGCGCGAGGCTTAGCTCCCACCGCTGGACCCGTGGCATTAGGACCCCGGGAGTGCTGAGTCGTGAGGGATGCTGGAGGCCCCCGCCCCCCGCCCCGTCCTTCCTCGGAAGGCCCTACAGGGCCCGGGACGCACCCTGCCGTCCCCCATGGATCCTCAGCACAGGGGACCCAGCTCGGCCCCTGTACCCCCCGCCCCCCACTCCCGGCGCGTTCCTCTGAAGTGTCGAAAGGGTGCCACCCTGCCGGCGCAAGGTAGGTGCCCTCGAACAGGACCAGCACGGGGGGGGGGCGGGGGGCTCTAGGGCTAAGAGTTGCACCCTCTTTGCTAAGGATCCCCCAGTTGGCAGCTCAGCCATCAGAGACCCCCATCCCAAGCCCCACGAGTGGACCCAATGGGGTGCACGCACGGCCGGGTCCCTGAACAGTCTCTCCGTCGGTCAGCAGCAGCAGGTGTTTGGAGTTAGGACTCACGGGCAGAGGCCGCCTCAAGTTGTGAGGCAGGTGAATTAGGTGTTAGAGCGAAGCAAAGACTAGAGGAAGCCCTGGTTCAGAGTCCTGTCTGAGCGGAAAGGGCTCCAGGGTCCCTCTGAGCTGAGCCAAACCTAGGGCCTGAGCAGGTGGGGAAACTGAGGCCCAGACAGGAACGGGGCTGGGACTGACTGTGGTAGACCTGGGACTTGAACCCAAGGCTCTGGACTCATAGTCCAGTGATATCAGTGGGCCTTCCCCGGCAGCGGGGGGGCAGTCTTCTGGGGACTGGGTATAACTGACTAAAACCCTTCACCCTGACCCCCCTCTTCCAGGGAACCTGTAGAGTATAAGGGCTGGTGACCCTTATGGCGGCTTGGGTCACACAGCCTGAGTTCAAATCCCCTCTCAACCCCTTGGGAAGCTGACAGGCAGTGGTTGGTCCATCCCCTCCCTGATACTACTCTGCTCATCTGTGCGGTGGGTTGCTATGAGGCCACATGAGGTGACACAGCTTTTCCTCTGACAACAGAGTCCTGGAAATAGGTGTGCAAGGTGCCTGGGTCTTTGTGCCTGGCCCCTTCCCTCCCACATCTGGGCATGGAAATGGGTCACCACTTCCTGGGTGCTGCTGGGCAGGGTCATGGGTCAAGGCCAGGTCATGGCCCCACATGTTCTGGGTGTGGCACGGGCAGCCAGGTCACCTGCACCAGAGCTGTCCTGGACAAACCAGCTTTTCGCTGGGGTATGGCTGAGGCCTCTGGGGCATCTGGAAGCACCAGCTTCCTGCTTCCAATGCTCAAGGGTGTACCTTTCTCTGCCGCTCCTGGAAGGGGCCCAGGTGCTCCTGCGTCACCCACGAGGGGGTCACCTGAGGTTGGGTAATAATGGGTTTAGCCACCCTGGAGCTGGATGCTGGCATGCCTTCTGCCATCATTAAACAGCAGGGACTGTGGGGGCTGGAACCCCAACTTCTGATCTTTGTGCTGCACCGTGAGACCTCTGATCACCCCCTGGCCCCGTCTGCCCTGACTCATGGGACCGGAACCTAGAATGCAGGTGGGTCGGGAGCACCAAACCCTCACCCGGTCACTGGGAGGCTTGGGCGCCTTGGAGAGGGATGAAGGGAGCAACCCACTGAGCAGGACGTCCCCAAGGCCCAAGCCTCTCAAATCATGGGGGGCCCAGGATGTGCAGGGTCTGTTCTTGTCCATTCACTCAGCACTCATTGAGCACCTGCTGTTTGCCAGGCACCACGGTGGACCCTGGGCTGCATGTTGTAGACGGTGGGGGGTGTGTGTGTGTGTGTGTGTGTGTGTATGTATGTGGTGCACAGAAGAGAATGCTTTTGGAAAACACAGCGTCTTCTTTCCTTTCCCATTTCAAAGTCATGGGCTAAGCTTGAGGAAGGGCCCCAGGAAGAAGACACAGAACCCCTGGGGACAATGGGGGCTGGGGTGAGGACCGGGCCCGGAGCCGCCACTGGCGGGGGCCGCAGGCAGCGAAGGGTGTCAGGCCCACTGCCAGTGCATGCAGCGCCGGCGGGGGAGGAAGGAGTGTCCGTAGCAAGCAGCACATCCCAGGGCCCAGCAGTGGCTGTGTTCTTCCATTTGTCAGACAAGACCCCAGCAGGAATCTAGTCAGGCCCTGTGCCGGGCACTGATGAGAAGGACCAGGGCCGGCCTGCCCTCTCCCGGGAGCCGCTGCCTGCTGGTGAAGACAGAGCTGGATACAAGCAATTCCTGAGCCACTGGCCATGGTCTGAGGAGTCTGACCGAGGGCCCCGAGGGGCACAGCGGGCAGCCGGCGCCCTCTGGGGGAGCGGGAGGGTTGGCAGGGCTTCATGGAGGAGGGCCTTGGAACTGGTGTGGGAGGGTGTGTCCTTCAGGAAGGGCCGCGGGAGGGGTGCGTTCCAGGCAGGGTGGGATAGCACGCTCGAAGGCCTGGAAATCTGGTTAAGAACGGGACGTGCTAGGAAAAGGTGGTGGCCCGTGTGGGTACGGGGAGCTGGGGGGGACAGGGGAGTGGCGTCTAGAAAGTAGGTGGGGTCAGCCGGTGCTGTGAGGCGCTTCACGTGCCATGGAGTAGGGTTGCATTCTGCTAATGCGGAGAAGCATACCGATTTTTGACAAGAGACGGCTGACTTTGATGATCTCTCTGGCAAAGGAGTAGACGCAGGGCTGGCGGTGGCCAGGCTGCAGACTGAGACCAGCCCGTCCATTCGCTCAGCCATCCGCTCAGCATGCTGTCGGAGTGTTACTGGGTGCCAGGCACTGGGGATCGAGTCACGACAGGCAGACGTGACTGGATCCCCTTACAGAGCTGATGTTCCAGTGGAGGGGGGCAGGCAGCATGCAAGTCGGGGAGGGGAGCCGCATGCCAGAGAATGCTCAGAAGCAATAAGACAGGTCAAGGCAGTAGAGGCGGGGTGGTCAGGGAAGGCCTCTCCAAGGAGGTGACGTCGCCTGAGTCACGTGAAGAGGCAGCGGCAGGAGCAGGCGCAGACGCTGCAAGGTAGGAACACGTGTGTCCCGTCGGAGGAACACACAGAGCGTCATGTGGCTGGAGCTCAGGCAGAGTGAGGTGAGCAAGGCCAGATGGCGTAGGACCCGGGGGGCTGCCCTCCCCAGATCGAGGGAAGCCCCTGGGGGGTGTGGAGGCAGGGCGTGCTGTCGGCGGGCTTACACGTTAAGCACCTGCCCTGGCTGCTTAACAGTGGTGACAGGAGTCGAGACCAGGAGTCAGTGTGGGACCCTGTGGCAGCCTCCATGGAGGGTAGAGTTGGTGGCAGCTCAGGCTGGACCTGCGAACAGAGCTGACGGGAGAAAAGGAGGGGAGAGAGGACTCCTGGGCCTCTGGCGTGAGCCCTGCTGGCTGGAGGGACCCTTGGGGGAGCTGGGGGCACCTGGGAGGGGAGGCAGGGGTGGCGTGAGAGAGCAGTTGGGGGCGCAGTAATTCGGGGGTGCTGGTCAGACTTCCCAGCAGCTGGTGGCTGTTTGAGGCCAGATCTCCAGGGAGAGGTCAGAGCCAGAGACAAGTTCCGAGGGTCCGTCAGTAGGAGGCTGTGCAAGTTCAGGCATCAAATGAAAGGCGGCCAGCCAATGACTGTGACCATTGGGGACCCAGGTGCAGGGTCTTCCCTATTTTCTGAACTGGACAGCAGAGAAGGGCCATTTGGATGGTGGGCTGAGTAATAGCCCCCCTGAAGATATCCCCGTTCTAATCCCCAGGGACCTGTGACAAGGAAACCTCACAGGCAATAGAGACTTTGCAGGTGCGATGAAGTTAAGGGTCTTGAGGTGGGGAGATCCCCTGAATCACCCAGGTGGGCCAGTGATGCAGTCGCTGGGGTCCCTATAAGGGGGACGGCAGGAGGGTGGGAGTGAGAAGGAGCTGTGACGGTGGAAGGAAGGAGGGATCGTGAGCCAAGGAATGCAGGCGGCCCCTGGAACCTGAACGAGGTAAGGAAAGGTGTTCTCCCCTGCGGCATGCAGAACCACAAGGTAGTAGTAAGTCCACGTTGTTTCCAGTTCCTGGGCCATGCTGATTTGTTACAGCAGCGAGAGGAAACTCATTCAGGGCTCTCCGGCTTCCTAAATCTTTGGCCTCCAAATATTTTTGATGACTCACCCCAGTAAAAATGTTTTGATCATTCCACGTATTTGTATATTCTGCATCATCCTCTCAAGTAGACATTTGTAATGGCAATTTCCTTTCAGTCGCTGAACCGGCCCGCTCTGGAGACCCCAGCCCCAGGCAGGCAAGGCCAGGGCTGGAGCCCCTGGGAGCCTCTGGAAGTGACAGGGACCTTCTGGGAGGGGACAGTGGCCAGGTTCTGGGCCCTGCCGTGCTGGCTGGTGAGGCTGGAGGCTCTGGCCTCTACCAGGAAGGAGTTGGTAGCTGGAGGTCAGGCCACGCCATGAGTGTGGCTTCGGGGTGGCTGGGCCTGTTTAACGAGGTGACTCACAGCCCAGGGCAGCCCTGCAGAGCAGCCTCAGAGGGAGGCTGGGCTGGCCCAGCGCTGGCATTGCCCGCCGGGGCCCCGGGGGCCCGTGAGAGGCCTGCCAGCGCCTCGGAGCCTGGGCTGGAGGATGCTCACGGAGTCACCAAGGGCGTATTGGTGGTTTATAGGCAGACGTGTGAGCCTGGGGCCTGGCTGTTGAGGAGCCATTGGATAGTGACAATGAGGCATGGGCAAGGGCCAGGTGGAGTCTCTTCCTGGAAGGTGAGTGGGTACAGAAGGGAGGCAGCTTTTATTCTTTCATTCAACAAACATCTCGTCCCCTGCTCTGATCCAGGCCCTGCGTTGGGCCCTGGGGAATCAGTCAGGTGGGCAGAAGGTCTCAGAGGGTTTGACAAGCCATCCTGGGCCAAGGGAGGCCCCTGTGGCTTTGGACACTTTGGTGGGTAGGGGCATCCAGGCCCCAGAAATGCTCTTCCTTAGTTGCAGGCCCTCTCCTCTGTCCCGGATGCTGGGTGCAGGAAACGGGGCCACGGGAGCTCATTGTTGGGTAGCAGTCTGGAGTCTGACTGGTGTGGAGACGGGGGTAACCCTAGGTCACTTGGTGCTTCTGGTGGTGAGCTGTGCAGAAACCTAGTCGTCCAAAATCCAGACACATTTGTCCAGATGGAAAGGGTTTCGTAACATCAAAGGGTTCACTGTGAGCCCTGGCCCGTGTGCCTTGGTTGGAGCGTCATCCTGTAACCAAAAATGTTGTGGGTTCGATTCCCAGTCAGGGCACAGGCCTAGGTTGCAGGTTGATCCCTGGTCCCGCCTGGTCTGGGCGTGGGTGGGAAGCAATCAATTGGTGCTTCTCCCTGGCATCGACGTTTCCCTTTCTCCCTTCCCCTCACCCTTCCTCTCTCTCTAAAACCAATGGGGGGAAAAATGCCCTTGGGTGAGGATTAAAAAAAAGGTTCCACCGTGAGCAAGGCGGCCTTGGCTGAATTCCGGTCTAGCCGGTCAGGAGCCCGGGAGGCTGCCCTGCAAAGGCTCTTGTGGTCGGAGGCGGTCTGTTGAAACTGATTTCCACTTGCAAAAATGCGTGAGAATTGTCTCCTTGGGTCGTGTGCAGGTACCAGGGCCCCCTATTTCATTTATTTAATCTTTTTTCTTTTTCTTTTTTTTATCGATTATGCTATTAGTTGTCCCAATTTCCCCCTTCACTCCCCTCCACCCTGCACACCCCCTCCCACCCACATTCCCCCCCTTTAGTTCATGTCCATGTGTCATAAGTTCTTTAGCTTCCATACTTCCTATACTATTCTTGCCCTCCCCCTGTCTATTTTCTACCTACCGTCTATGCTACTTATTCTCTGTACCTTTTCCCCCTCTCTCCTCCTCCCACTCCCCTGTTGCTAACCCTCCATGTGATCTCCATTTCTGTGGTTCTGTTCCTGTTCTAGCTGTTTGCTTAGTTTACTTTTGTTTTAGATGTGGTTGTTAATAACTGTGAGTTTGATGCCTTTTTACTGTTCACATTTTTTATCTTCTTTTTCTTAGATAAGTCCCTTTAACATTTCATACAATAAGGGCTTAGTGATGATGAACTCCTTTAACTTGGCCTTATCTGAGAAGCACTTTATCTGCCCTTCAATTCTAAATGACAGCTTTGCTGTATAGAACAATCTTGGATGTAGGTCCTTGCCTTTCATGACTTGGAATACTTCTTTCCAGCCCCTTCTTGCCTGCAAGGTCTCTTTTGAGAAATCAGCTGACATTCTGATGGGAACTCTTTTGTAGGTGACTGTCCCCTTATCTCTTGCTGCTTCTAGAATTCTCTCCTTCATTTTAATCTTGGCTAATGTAATTATGATGTGCCTTGGTGTGCTCCTCCTTGGGTCCAACTTCTTTGGGACTCTCTGAGCTTCCTGGACTTCCTGGAAGTCTATTTCCTTTGCCAGATTGGGGAAGTTCTCCTTTATTATTTGTTCAAATAATTTTTCTGCTTGTTGCCCTTCCTCTTCTCCTTCTGGTACCCCTATAATTTGGATGTTGGAATGTTTAAAGATGTCCTGGAGGTCCCTAAGCCTCTCCTCATTTTTTTTAATTCTTGTTTCCTCATTCTTTTCTGATTGTATGTTTTTTTCTTCCTTCTGGTCCACTCCATTGACTTGAAACCCAGTTTTCTTTTCATCACTATTGGTTCCCTGTGCATTTTTCTTCATTTCACTTATTGTAGCCTTCATTTTTTCATCTCACTTGTGACCAAAATCAACCAATTCTGTGAGCATCCTGATCACCAGTGCTTTGAACTGTGCATCTGATAGGTTGGCTATCTTTTGGTCGCTTAAAAGTATTGGCTGTGGGGTTTTGATTTGTTCTGTTTGAGCCATTTGGGGGTGGGGGTTCTGGTCACACCTGTTACGTATTGAGAGGCAGAGCCTTAGTTGTTCACCAGGGCCAGACAACCCAGTCGCTGGGTTGTGACGTTGTATGTGGGGGTGAGGTCTGAGAGGGAACCATGGAGCTTGCTCTGCTCTCTCTCTGCTCTCTCTAGGACTTCAGTCCCCTCTGCTACTTCCCACAAGCAAATTGAACCCTGCTGCTGGCTCCCAGGCGGGTGGGCTTGTGTATGTTCTGGGACCCTGTGGGTCTTCCCAGGTAACTCTCCTGTGAGGTTGGGAGATTGTTCCAGCAACTCGACCCCCACAGGTGTTTTCAATCGGTGCTTTTAGGTTTTATTTCCCGGAGCTGGGGCCCTAGGTTGCGCAGTCTGCGTCACTGCCCATTTTCGCCTGGTTTATCTGCGTGTGAATGTGTGAATGTGTGACTGCAGACAGCCAGCTGCCTCCCGCGCCCGGGGTCTGCCACTGGTCCATCAACCGCCCCTGCACGCCTCCGCCTCCGCCCCTCTTACCGGTTTGGATGAATAGTTGTCAGACTTCCATACAGTTCATTTCTCTCTCTCTGTACTGGTTGTTTTTTTTGTTTCTAAATTTTTGTTGTCCTTAGTTTTGGTTGTGCGAGGAGGCACAGTGTGTCCACCTACGCCTCCATCTTGGCCATAGGTCAGGGTACCCTATTTTAAGTTGTTAACTACCAGTGGCTTTAACTCCAATTCAATTACATTATTTTTGTGCTGCAATCAGAGCTGTCCCTGGGGTGGGTCGGAGGCCCGGGTGCATCTCCCACCTGTCCGAGCCTCGAGTCTGGGCAGGAAAAATGTGAGCCAGGGACATGGGCTGCAGGGGGTTTGGCTATTCAGACATATCCATCTCCTGCACTTTCCAGGGCTCCGCCCGCACCTGCTCCCGGCCAGGTGACTTCTCAGCTCCCAGAGTCCCAGACTCTGGGCCTGGAGGCTAATCCCTCTGGGTAGGAATTGACCTAGACTCCGAGCTGGGCTGCAATGCAAACTTCCACCAGTAGGTGGTGCATCCGGCCAGGTGTTACCGCTTCCGCGTTTCTAGCATGGGGCCTGGTGCGGGCTGGATGTTGGGGAATTGTTGGATTTAAGAAGGCATGTCTGAGTGAGACGGGAAGGACAGAGGAGACAGAGGGACAGGGCACACTCCACATGAAGGCGCACTAGGGCTGAGGCATTGCATTCTATAAAAGGAATCTGTTCCGCAGTGACAGGATGGTCCCTCTCCGTGATGGGGCCCACCTGGCTCCCTGTCCCGGGAACGTGGCGTGCAGGGTCCTCGTCACGCCACACGTGCCTTTGGTGGGGAGCTAAGGGTCACTGTGTCGGGCAGCCAGCAGTCCGGAGGCTTTGTACGTGGTGAAGGCCCATCAGTTGCTTTTGAAATTGTCACAGCTTTGCTTCTTTGTCTTTCAGAGTGAAACATCTTTCAACCTAATATCGGAAAAATGTGACATTCTATCAATCCTCCGGGATCACCCTGAAAACAGGATTTACCAGAGGAAAATCCAGGTGAGGCCGAGGGTGGGGAGGAGCGGGTCCTAGATTACACGGGCTGGAGACCGGAGCAGAGGAGCCGGTGCCAGTTTGCAGGTTCAAAGGCTTAGCACGTGAACCAGGTTCCTGGGCAAATGCAAGGGCTCCCAGAATATTTTGATGCTGGGCGTTTGCCTTCGTGAGAAATCCTTCAGTTGCAAAACAAAAAAAAATTAAGCTAGGCACTGTTATCCTACGTGCTTTATTTACCCACTGAGACCTCACTGCAACCTTGAAGGTCAGCGCTTGCATGGTCCACGTTTGCAGCGGAGGAAGCCGAGGCGCGGAAGTTAAATAGCAGGCCCACGGTCCCACAGCTAGTGCGTGACCGAGCTGGGATGTGGTCCCCGCAGCCTGGTCACTTCCGCTGCACCAGCTCCAGCGGGGCTGCCGGAGGGTCTGCCAGAGCAGAGCAGGCGCAGCTCACAGAACAGGGCCCCCGGGCCGCAGGGGGCTGCTTCTCTCTGCGCCCTGGTGGGACCGTGTCCGGGGCAGGAGCAAGGACGGAAGGGGCAGCACACCGACTCTCGTGTCCCCTGGGGTGTCCCCTGGGGCGTTCTCGTCCTTCCCTGCCGGCCTGCCTCGGTGGGCCCGTGGGCTCCGAGCCCTCCCGTCCGTGGTGAGAAGAGACTGCACAACCTGTTGGAAACCGTCTCTGCTGCTAGAACTGGAGCCTCATGAGGGAGGCAGCCAAGGGCACTCCTGGCCATTTCAGAGGGAGATCGAGACAGTGGGGGATGCAAAAAAAGGGGTGTCACAGGGAGTACCGCAGCTTTTGAGGCATATTTGAAGGGCGGGCCAGACTGCTTCCTATGTCTGAGAAGGCACTTCCAGCTGGCTCTGCAGCCCCAGGCCCGCCACGCAGCCACGCTGAACCCGTCTCCGCCTCATTGGTTCTGTCTGCCTGTACCACGCCCAGCCCTCCTGCTCCTCTTCCGAAGGCTGGTGTAAAAGCTGTTGCTCCTAGCCACCCCCGGTGCCTGCCCCATGCTTCCACTGTCCTCCTGCCGAGATCTCCTGGCTGCACCCCCACCCTCACCCCGCTAGACCATAGAGAGCCTGAGGGCAGGGCTGGGGGCCCCCAGTCACCCCCAGTGCTGGACACAGGACTGGCTCAGAGTTTCCATCCGTGGGATGAATGCGAGTTGGGAGACAGCGAAGGGGCGGGCAGGCTGCGGGGGAGCTGGGGTCACCTGGGGGTGGTGAGGGCCTGGGGGTGGCAGGGGCCCGGCCCTGACAGGACACAGCGGGAGGGGGTGTCGCCGCAGACATGGCCCACGTTTCCCGATCTCCCCACAGGAACTCAGCAAAATGTTCACCGCGATCCGCAAGACCAAGGGGGACGGGAACTGCTTCTACCGGGCCCTGGGCTACTCCTACCTGGAGTCTCTGCTGGGGAAGAGCAGAGAGATCCTCAAGTGAGTGGGCCGAGGGCGGGCTCCCTGACTCGGAGGCCGCGGTCTCTGTTCCGTCAGCGCTGAACTTCGAGGGTTTTCCTTGGCACACACTGCTCGGCCCAGGGCGTGAGCTGGAGGGCTGCCTGGCAGCGGTGCTGATGTTCGGCAGTGCCCAGCAGCCTGCCAGGTCGGAGGACGGGGCAGCCAGGCAGCGGGGGAAGGCGCTCGGGACCTAATAGTCCCTGAGCACTCGGGGCTGGTCTGAGGGGCCTGGCGGCAGGAACCCCAAGGCAGGTTTCTCGGTGGTGGCCCTGCTGACGTCCGGGGCGGGCTCCCTCGTCCTGGGGCTGTCCTCTGTCCTGTGCTTGGAGGACATTTAGTAGCATCCCTTGCTTCCAGCGACGCGCTGCCGGGAGCACCCCCCTTCCCCAAGCCGTGACAATCGAAAGTGTCTCCAGACATTGCCAGCTATCTCCTGGGGCGGGGGTGGGGGGGGGACTGGGGGGGTGGGGCCTGGTCGAGCCTGGTTGAGAACTGCCAGGTTAAGGCTGTCCTCTCCCGTTCCCAGTATGGATGACCTCAAAGCGGATAGAAATTAAGCTACCTGTTCCTTGTTTTGAATGGGTCATTCATATCATTTCCTGAATGACCCACTGGCTGAGCCCCTTTGAGGGAGAGTGAGCTTTCTCAAGTCACTCCCCACCCCCACCTTCCTGCAGCCCTGCAGGTAAGAGGCCATACAGAGAGTGGGTCTCCCCACCAGCCGTGTCCCCCAGAACTGGGACATGCAGAGGCCCTGGGCTCTGAGGTCACACCTCACTCTCTTGCTTACTTGCTGTGTGACCTCGGGCAAGTGACCTGACTTCTCTGAGCCCGTTTCCCCATCAGTGAAAGGTAGATAACGTTGCCTGGTTCTGGAGGTTGTCTTTACTGAGCATGGCAATGCTGGCAAAGCTCACCCCTGTGTCTCTGTCCCTGCCCTGCCGGCTCTGTTCCCCTTCACCCCTGCCCTCCCCCTGCAGCCTCACCCAGCGGGGCGCCACACAGGACCCTGGTGGGGCGCTGGGGATGCAGCGGGGAACAGCACACAAAACACCCGGCCTCAGGGCTCGCATCCTAGCGGGAGACGGACCGTCCATAAGGACAGTATTTGATGGGGCGAATGGTGATGCGTGTGGGAAACAATGGGGCAGGGAAGGCAGCCAGGTTGTCCGGGGGCGGGGAGCATTGGAGCGGTAAGGAGACGAGGTCACGTGGGGCCTCGTGGGCCTCCCTAAGGACCTTAAATGTCCACATGGGTGGGGGCCGGCGCAGCCTGGGAGCAGCAAGGAGGGGTGCTCAGGGAGAGGCCCCGAGGAGAGAAGCGGTCAGGCTCCAGATGCCTGTGGAGTTGGTGCCGGCGGGGTTCCCTCACGGCGCAGGCTCAGTGCGGGCTGCGTGGCGTGTGTTGTGAGTGGAGCGGGGAGTCAAGCGCGACTGCCGCCCGGCGTTCGGCCCGAGACTCACCAGGACAGAGAAGCCGCTTGCTGCAGAGCGGCCGGGAGGGTCGGGAGCTCCGTATGGGGGTGCCTAGTCTGGAATGTCTGTGAGCCACCAAGGGGGGTGCGCAACCCCGGTAGCAGGATGAGCGAGGCCGGTGTTACCCCCACTTTCCCGTCGAGTAAACCGAGCTTCAGAAAGGTTAAACGACCTGCCCAAGGTCACACTGAAGCCCAAGGTCACACGGAAACCGGTGCCAGCTGAGAGTCGCAGTGCCACACCCCCCTCCCTCACGTCGTGGGGGCGCGTCCTGGCCTGGGTGTCTGCTCCCCTGTGTCGTTCATCACCGTGTCCCCAGTGCCCGGCACGGTGTGGCCGGCAGTCACTGGTGAGGAGCGGCGTGCATTGGCGTTCAGGGACGGGGGCAGGAGAGCTGGGCGAGGGGGCGCAGAGCTGTTCGTCCCACCGCCTTGCAGGGACAGTGACCAGAGGGACCCTCACAGCACCCGCACCGCCCACACCACACAGGGGGAGCCCTCGGCCCGAGAGCAACACAGCAGACCTTGACCCCCAGCACAGCCACTCCCACCTGCCCCGGCCAAAGCACACTTTGTATGATTTCGAGTTTATATAACTTGATTTTTAAATAACAGCTGGCTGAATTCTCGAGAATTTCACAACTAGTTCTCGTGAGTGCAAACCCCCACTCCCTGGCTGTGGGTGAGGAGAGGGAAAATGCATGCGGCGCATGGCCGTGGGGCGGGAGGGGCCCTGCAGCGGGACGAGACGAGGCCGGCAAGCTAGGCGGGGGGCCTTCCTGGGCACCGGTGCTGAGGGAGAGGCTGTGGCGGGTCCCCCGGGGGTCCCTGTGCAGAAGGGGCCAGGAGCAAGGGAAGCCTAGGCGTGGCCTAGGCCGGAGATGGTGGTGAGCCCCGGGGACAGCAAGGAGGGACGGAGCCAAGAGCCCTTTGTCTCGGGCAGGTGGTGACACCTCACTTCTGTCTCCATGACACTGGTGTGATACCCCGTCCCGGGGTCGAGCACCGTGAGGACAGGACAGGACAAGTCCTGGTGTGGCCCCCACGCAAGTGCCGTGCGAGGCAGAGAAGCCCCCCCACTCGGTAGTGACGTCCACCTCCTCACTGTGCTGGGCACAGCTGGCCGGAGTGGGTGGCTGCTGCCAGTCCCTGCGGCGTTCCCCGACATTCCCCAGTGAGCGCCGGTCTCCCCTTCAGGTTCAAAGAGCGCGTGCTACAGACCCCCAACGACCTCCTGGCCGCCGGCTTCGAGGAGCACAGGTTCCGAAACTTCTTCAATGCTGTGAGTTGCCCTGGGCACGGCGGCTGAGGGACCGGGGCCCTCCACGCTGGCAGGGCAGACAGGAGTGGGTGTGCTGCCCTCACAGCCCAAGGCTCTGGGCTCCGCCAGGCTCCCCTGCTTCTCTGGGGCGGGGGAACTGAGAGCTGCTTCCTGCTTGTGGAGACGTGGGGGGCGGGGAGCCCAGGGCCCTGCCCTCCTTCTGGGAGGAGGCGACTGCTTAGGGTAGCTCTCAGGCTGGGAACTCCTGCCCAACCTCCTTCCCGCCGTTTCCTCTCCAGCCCACCCCCTGACCCCATGAACGAGGGCGAGGGCAAGGGTGAGGGCCAGGGGGAACCTCTCCATCCTGACTCCCTAAGTAAGCGTCTCGGCCTGAGAGTGGTGGGGGGAGACCCCAACTGCAGTTTGCTAGACATGACTCCGGGCCAAGTCACTCATTAGAGTATTTGTACTCTACCCCGTGACTTAGCTTTGGGGGGATCTCAGACTGACTGAGTTCGGTACCCTGACTTGGAGATTTAGAAGTGCCAGCTCAGGGAAGAGCGCCCTGGGAGGGGCGGTGTGGGCCAGCGCCCGCCCTGGCTGACCTGCGGGGGCCAGTTTTACAGTGTGGTGGAGCTGGTGGAGAAGGACGGCTCCGTGGCCAGCCTGCTGAGGGTGTTCAACGACCAGAGCGCCTCGGACAGAATCGTGCAGTTCCTGCGCCTGCTCACCTCGGCCTTCATCAGGAACCGCGCCGACTTCTTCCGACACTTCGTGGACGAGGAGATGGACATCAAGGACTTCTGCACTCACGTAGGTCCTCGGGGCCTCGGGCTTCGGGGCCTGGGCTCCAGCCCCGGGCTCCGCTCCTCCCTCTGCTTGGGAGACTGGAGCACCGGCATCCTGGCCACCGGGGGCACGCGGGCAGGGCTCCGTGTTTGCGGCTCCCAGGGCACAGCCGAGCCAGCCAGAGGCGGCCCTGCTTGAGCTGCCCGAACTGTGTGGCTCTGGGCAAGTCGCTTCTCTCCCCCAGCCTCCGACTGGCCATCTGAGACAAGGGGCTCTGGACGAGACCGTGACATAATGAAGGAGTCACATCTGCCCCGAGATGTGTTTTGTTGACCATGCACGGTATTCGCCCCTCGCCGACATGCAGACGCTGGGCGCTCTGCGCAGACCCAGCCCCAGGCTCATTCCCGCGGGCGGCCGTCCGGAGAAGCCAAGTGGCCAGCGCGCTGCGACCCGGGACCACGGAAGCCAGGGGGCTGGCTTCCCACGGGCCCTCTGCTACGCCTCCTTCCTAAACCAGTTTTCTTTCTTTTTTTTTCTCTCTCTCTCTCACTGTGGCCTTCGCAGGAAGTGGAGCCGATGGCCACGGAGTGTGACCACATCCAGATCACGGCCCTGTCGCAGGCGCTGAGCATCGCCCTGCAGGTGGAGTACGTGGACGAGACGGACACGGCCCTGAACCACCACGTGTTCCCCGAGGCCGCCGCCCCTTCCGTGTACCTGCTCTATAAAACTTCCCACTACAACATCCTTTACGCAGCCGATAAACGTGATTGATTTTAGGCCACAAAGTGGAGCCTGTACCCTTCACGGGGACTGCATTCTGAATGGAACGTCACGGCTTTTCAGTTTTTTTAAGCGGTTTAGACTGTAGTTAGAGAAACCAGCACACACGGACTTTTGGGGCAGAGTCCCTGGGAGTGAGGCCTACCGATTAGGGACTGCGGTAATTTGGTGATATTTTTAGTATTCGTTCTCATAAAGGACCAAACGGTCTTTAACTCGGGTTTCGGGGGCCAGGGCCCCCCGGCTCTGCTCCGGGTCCCTCGAGACCGCGGGTCAGTCTCCTCCCCTCCCCGGGCCTGTTTCTCCGCCGCCGGAGCCTTCCACCAGCGCCGACATTCTATTTTTGTACCAAAACAAGCCAGTGCCCTCTGGTCAGTCTTTTCACCACGGACAGCGCCTCCCTCTAAGGGAGGAAAAGCTCAAGGTCGACTGTCTTAAGCGACGTACAAGTTCTATAAAAACGAATCAGCTCTAACCACCTGTCGGGCTGGACGCTGGTGGGCGGCTGGGTGACGCGCCGGCCAGCCTGGATGCACGGGCTTCGACGTGGTTCCAAACTGCCACAGCGGGAGTGTGTTCTCACCCCTAACTTCAGAAGGAAAGAGACTTTTATGCCAAAGCCTAGAAAGCAGACTTGAGTGGGACGCTCACGTTGTCGGGCCCCTCTACCTCTCCCAGGGCCAGGACTGCCTGCCCGGCCGCTCAGGGTTCCTCCGCCAGCCCCGCTCGGACCACTGCTCAAGGAAGAGGAGAACCTGGGAGCTGGCGGCTGTGCGTCCACCCCCGGCGCGCCCTGGAAGGAGAACCAGGCGCTCTGGCTGCACGCGCAGCCGGACTCCAGCCGAGCAGAACGGACGCGTGTCACAAGGCTGTCGTATTTCCTCTCCCCTCCGCACCCGGCTGCTGCTCGGTGTACGGGCTGCGAGAGGTCAGGCGAGGGGGAAGAACACGGGCGGGCCGAAGACGCTGGCACCGAGGGGGACTTCTGTGGTGGAGACCGCCTGGCAGTCCAGAGCCCTGGCTGGCGGCCTCCTCATTCATCCACCTGGACACGCCCATTAACGGCCTCACCGTGCTGCCCCAGGACCTCACGGAGCCCCGGCCAGTCTAGGGCTCTGCTAGCAAGTTCTCCTGCTCTGCGGGAGGAAACAACGCAAGGGCACGGGGCTGCCCTGTGTGCTGCTCCCTCCACCGAAGGCCCTCTCCTCCCAGGCCCCACTCCGCAGGGACGCGTCAGAACCTGCTGGCGCCGCAGGGCGCATCTGCCTCTGCCGCCGGCCAGACTGCACAGCACAGAGCTGGGGGGGGGAGGCTGCTCTGAGTCCTGGGCACAAAGGTCGCGCCAGGGTGCTTGAATTCCAGGCAGGGACGCAGGTTCCTGTCCTGCCGCTGGCTGGAATTTGAACCCAAGGGCTCAGACTGAGTGACACGTCACTTTTCCACTGGACGATAAATCTGACCCTTCCGTCCGAATTACCTCAGCGTCCTGCCCTGCTGTGGGCAGGAGCGTGGGCTCTGTGACGGTACACTGGAGCGGGGGACGTGTTACACAGTGTGTGAGTATCGGCGTCCTCCACCCCCAAACTGAGGAGCGGGCACACTCGACACAGGGCGGAACGCCCGTGGCCGCTCGGAGGGTGGTGCGGTGGGTCCTCAGCCCCGGCCAGGCACCCCGGCACCGCGTAAACAGCACCGGCTGCCACTTCTCTGCACGTGTGGCCTGTGTAGCGCTCACGAAAGCAGTTTTCTCTCCGGCAGACTGGCTGGAGAAGTCCCCTCCGAGACTCACCTACACTGTGCTTCCAGGCCTGGGGCCACCAGTGCTCACCTGGGACCCCGGTCCCAGGAGAGATCCCACCAGCTTAGAGCCGGAGTGCCCGAGAGAGGCGGGCCCAGTTCCTCTCTCTATGGCAAAGCACTGCAGAGAGAGAGTGGCAGGATTCAGTGGAACTCTCACACGAGTAGCTATCTGTCTAAAGTCGGGGTTATGTCCCAATAAACCCATTACGTTGAAAGTATTTCAAGTGGAAAGTGCATTTAATACACCTCACCAACTGGGCACCCCAGTTCAGCCTAGCCTACCTCACATGTGCTCAGAAGACTCGGCCTACAGTTGGGCAACTACCTTGAGGTTCATCTCGAGAACCGCCTTTCTCTTCTCCGCAGAAGGAGACATAGATGGGTGGGATGAGAAAGCGAAACACAGTATCCGGAAAGTGCCGGCGACCTGCCCCCCTGAGCCCGCGGCTGGCCCGGAGCTGCAGCTCGCTGATGCCGCCGCCGCCGCATCGCAGCGGAGCCTCTCTCCACATTACACCAGGCTGGGAAAGAGCAAAGTTCAGAATTCAAATACGGTTTCCACTGAATGTGTGCATTGCACTTTCGTACTATCAGGAAGTCAAAAAGTCTGAGTCAGGCACAGACCGATTGTCCAAACCCAGTCGCGCTGTCAGCCGCTCCCCCCGGGTAATTCCCCGCCCCACCCCGTGGGGCCGCCCCTCTCCAGACCAAAAGCTGGGAGGACTGTTGCTTTGAGAGTTCACAACTGCGTAGTTATTACTTTCTTTCCAAAGAAAGGTTATAAATCAGTGGAAATATTTACCAACAAAAAGAACCAACTGTCCTTGCTTTGGACCGGGTCCCTGTCTGAGCATAAAGTAGCTCCTGAGGCGGCCTGGGTTGGGATCCCAACCTTGTAACTCACTAGCTACGTGACCTGGCCGAGACCCTCCGCCCCGATGGGTCCCACGTGAGCGGGACGCCTGCACACCCGGGGCACCAGTTCGAGGGGACGGGGCTGTGTGTGGAAACGACGACGAGACCCGACACGGAGACCCGACACGTAGTGAGTGTGAGCGCTCCACACCCGGCACGCACCCAGCCCGCCCTTCCCAAGGGCGGCGGCGGGGGAGCATGTCACCTCGCCAGTGGCACCGTGGCCTCCCCAGCAGAGACCTAAGACCCACACACAGCCCCTTGCTGGGCAGAGATGGGGGTGGGGGTCCTGGCTCTGAGTGGCCGCTCTGGGGCCTTAGGCCCTCCAGCAGGGGTGTCAAACTCCTTTTCACCAGGGGGCACATCGGCCAAGCGGTGGCCTTCAGAGGCCCGGATGTAACTCGGGACTGTATAGACGTCACTGCTCCTTAACCAGGGGCAAGGAGCTCAGCGCTGCTGCTGGTAGAAACAAGGTGTCGGGCGGGTAAAACAAGGCGCAGGGACTCGCGTTTGCCACCCGTGCCCTACGGCTTCCCAGGGCAGCTGGAGAGAACATTCCCTCGCTGTAAAATGGTTTCCCGGACAACTTCTGTCCTGGCTTGTTAGTATTCGGTACCCGCGAGACACGAGTGCGGCAAGCACTGAATGAGGAGGGTGAGCAGGGCGCCTCGGGAGCCCACAGCGGGCACACACACTCTCCAGGGCCCGCAGGGACCCGGAGGACACGAAGCAGTGCCCGAGGATGGGGAGGCATCGGGCCGAAGGAAAGGTTTATGCAAGGGCTCAGGACAAGAGAAGGGGCGCATCGGAGCACAGGAAGCAAACAGCTCTGTCACAGAGGAGGGGGCAGAGAGGCGAGGCCAGAGAAACGGCCTAGGACCAGGTCCCGACAACCTGGCACACAAGCGTCTCTCACGTTAAAGCAGCCTGTGCTCCCTCGGAACCTGGGGACGGTGACCTCTCCCTGGCCCGCCTCCCGGAGCGGCTCAGACAAAACAGCAGCTGTCAGCGAGCGGTAGGGAGCCCGGGAGCTACGGGTTCTGCTGGGGGAAAGCAGGAACAAATGCTGAGGACCTGGGCAGACACGGTTTATAGTGGTCTGCAATGCTCTGGCCTCCTGCTCCATGCACACTGCCCAGTGGGGTGGGACACCGCCATGTGCCTCCTGCAGCCGGGGGACTGTGACAGTACCCCCCATATTCCAGCTAAAAACACAGGATGACATGCTAGTTCAACTGCTTTTAATTAAGGAAATCGAGTTGTTTACATACAAGCCTGTAAACACATACACGGAAATACGTAAGCTGCTGCAAAGAACTCTTACTCCAAAACACACCACAGATCTGCATGAGGTCGCTCCCACCACGGGGGTGGCGTGGGAAAGGGAGACCCTGTAATCGGGTGGAAGTGGAACGAAAGGAAAGATGGAGCACTCCCCCTGTAACCGCAGGGCAGAGACACGACGCGTGGTCACTGGCCGACTCTGACCGGGGGCCGTTAACGTGCACTCGTGCTGGACCGTGGCTCTTCCTACGGCCCCTTCGTTTGTGGCTTTGGCTTCTTCTTCTTCTTCTTCTGTCTGGAGAGGCAGCTCAGAGCGGACTCCCCGTGTCCGGGGGCGGGCCTGAGCGCGGGGGGCTGGCCAGACTGCGTGGGGTACCTGGTTTTCGGGTCCTCCCTAAACAGCGGCTGGGAGAGCAGGTGGCGCAGCTCCTTCCTCAGCACCTTCATCTGCTTCTGTCTGCGGCGCTCTTCTTGCTGGTCGGCTTTCCCTCCTTGAGACACAGCACGAAAAAGACCATTTACTAGAAGACCGTTTCCCTGCATGGAAGATGCTTGCGATGGAAAATGCTCTGGACCTCTTGCACGGGCAGAGGTCAAGAGTTCTCTGCAAAAACTGGTGCTGACGATTCCAACCTGGTTCAAGAGGGACAGACGCTCGGGGCCGCTCTGTCCTTTACCTCTCCCGAAAACCCTCCGAGGTGGGAATTATCTCCACTCTACTACAGCCCAGGGAATGCAGAGGTCGCCTGCCAGAGGTCACAGAGCCAGCTGTCAAACGGATGGGAACCCAAGTCTCCGGACTTGAGTAACAGTCTTCCTCCTACGACCCACCTGCTTGCAGCCTGAGGTTTTTAACAACTCAACCGCAGCCAGCCCCTCAGGAGAGAGGAAACGCCGTCTCTGCTGCCCAGCTCTCCCACGCCCTCCCACTGGCCCTGTGCCAGCCCCTGCAGAGGCGGGCACAACCGCAGGGCTCCACGCCAGCCTGTCCTCGGGAGGGGAGGCCAGAGCCCCGTGCACCTACAGCCCCAGCCCCAGCCCCGCGCTACCAGAGAACCAGCTCACTGCCAGCGAGCCCAGCGGTCTGGTTTCCGGCTTCCACACGGAGCAGACAGTAGCACACCTGCCTCCGAGTCTGTAGATTCTGGCACTGTTGATTGTGCCAACATCCCTGCTGGGCCGCTCACCTGTGGGCTGGAAGGAGCACTGGGCCTAACTGGTGGTGTCAGCTCCAGTTGTGGCTCTGCCACTTAGACTCGGGAGCTTCCTGGGGCAGGGACTGCACAGATTCACCCCTGAATCCTTAGCCTCGGGCCCAGGAAGTGCCCGGCAGTGCAGCTGCTCTCCTACACAAACTGCTTCTCCCCTGTGAGCCCCTGGCTCCCCTACTGACCAGGGGTAAGAGGGTGATTATTCCTGCTGTTTGTCGTGAGCGTGTGGACATCAGGTGAGTTGATGGCCAAAGTGCTTCATTAGCTTAGAAGACAGGTATAGTAATGACAATGACAACAAATAACTTAAGCCCTGGCCAGCGTGGCTCAGTGGATTGAGCGCTAGCCTGTGAATCAAAGGGTCGCTGGTTCGATCCCCAGTCAGGGCACATGCCTAGGTTGCGGGCCAGGTCCCCAGTAGGGGGTGCGTGAGAGGCAACCGCACACTGATGTTTCTCTCTGTAAAAATAAATAAAATCTTTTTATAAACAAATAAATAACTTAAAATGTATCAAATACTTTCTACTTGCCAGTCACTGTTACAAGCACTTCAAAACTATTAAGTCAGGCCCTCTTGGCAACAGCCCCAGGAGACAGGTGCTTTACGACCTGCGTTTCATACAGGAGGACGGCCCAGGGACGAGAGGTCAGCTGGTCACAGGGCCAGCTGGGGGAGCGGGCCGGCACTTGGACATGGGCAGCCTGGCCACGGAGCCTGCTCCCAAAGTCACCGTCTCTCCCCCACACGTGGGTGGCAGCCAGAGGCCCAGACAGACCAGACAGAGGGAGCAAAGGCTCAGGGTTTGAGGTTCCCCTGGGAGGAGGGCCTGGCGCAGAGAAGGAAAAGGCATCTTGCCCATTCTGACCGGACCCCTGGCAGTGGGGAGGTTCCCGCAAGACAGAGGTTGACGGGAACACGGGCGTGAACAAACCATGCGCCCGCGCTCCCCTCCCGCCAGCCCACTCACCCTTGTACATCTCCTCGTCCAGCTCGATCTCCAGGGCAGCGGCCGCCTGCTCGATCCAGGAGTTGTGCAGGCACGCCTGGAAGTTCCGGTACTCCGCCTTCTCGATCTGCCGGGCCAGCTGGATCCGCCCCTGGCGGGAGGAACAGACAGTGTTCGTCTGCCCAGGGGCTCAGGCCTCTGGGAACCAGAGTCCTTCCAGGTTGTGGGGTTTTTTTAAGAAACGCTCTTGGGACCAGCGGTCCCTGATAAGAAAGCAGAGGGCGACCGTTACATGTGAGTGTACACGGGAGGCCACAAGGGCCGGCTTTCCAACCACAGGGGCTGGCGAACACGCCGAAGAGCCTCTCCCGGAGGCCCACGTGGCTTGGACCGCCCATCTCCAGGCGTCCGAAGGGAGCCCTTCCCAGGCACCGCCGCTGGCCTCTGCAGCTGGGCCGGGACCCTGAGACACCCCAGCCCTCGACCGCGGGGGTCACAAACGCACGGTACTGCCTTCCCTCTCTTCCACGCCGTGCTTTTGGAAAACCATTTCAATGCCCCTCTCGTGGGTGCTGGGGCCAGACAGCGGTCACCGGACATACCAGACAAAAAGGAGTGACCTGGCGATGCGAGGGGAAGGAGCCACGAACAGCCAGGCGGCCCCCAACCTCCTCACTAACGGGAATCCTCTGTACCCACTTTCCATCTCATTGCCCACGTTTCCCCGAAGTCCTTGAAACGTTCCGCGCTTTTGCCCCCTCAATTCCTGGAATTTCACCTCCTCTTCACACCTCCACGTCTCTGCCCAGAGGAGGCTCGGAGAAAACCTCAGCGCCGACCGACTCGGCCACGCGCCCGCTGGTCAGCCCCAGTGCTCTGTTCGTGCCTGGACGTCAGCTCGGGCTTGGCCCGCCCTGCAAGCCAGGGGACCTCCATGGAGGATGCACCGCCGGCTGGCTGGCGCACTCGGGCCCCCGGGAAGTGCCGAGGAAGGTAAAACAAAACCCTGAAGGTAGGAACCACTGGCACCCGCTTCAGGACCGTGACAGACCTCGAGTCCCTGCCCCACAAGACACGCTGACCTCGCTCCCCTGCAACCACCGCACGGGATGGCCAGGTGGCAGCGCCCCCGTCCGGAGGAGGAGGGTGATGGTGGAGGCTTTAGGGGAAGGTGGTTCAGGAAGGAGGTTCCTCCCTTTCGGCCACTCGCCCTCCCCTCCTCGTGCCCGGAGCAGTGCCCCACTCCGTGTCGTTATGAATCTCCCCGGGGCGCTCCGGGCAGAGCCACTCTGTAGGCTCTCAGGGTTACACTTCCAAGGTGAGGGCGCAGCACGGCCCCTCCCCTCATTAGCAACGGGCTTTTAACTTCTTACCTTAACTGCGTCCATGTACTTTGTCTGCACAGGGAAGAATGGGATGTCCTCATCTTTTTTGAGGGTTTTGTAAATCTTCTTAAAGTTGATCATGTCCTCAGGCCCGATCAGCATCAGGCTGAGACCCTCGTTGGCGGCCCGAGCGGTCCGACCGCTGCGGTGGACATAAATCTCCGAGGTGCGGGGGACCTGCGGGGGGAGAACCGGGAGTCCGTGTGTGGCCGGAACCAGGGCCAGCCGCCCTCTCGGCCCGGCAGCCAGGACCCTCTCCAGCACCATGGGCCGAGCCCGCCCTCCTCCCGTCCCACATGCAAACTGTCCCCGGGTTCACTGCCAGCTCCCCGTGCAGGCGCTGCCCTCCCACGCGCCCTGCCCCGGGTCAGGCCCTCGTGGCTACTCGAGCGGAAAATGGCAGGCACGTCCTGCTTGGTCTCCAGTCCTCCCCACGCTCCCGGACCCAGCCCGAGGCTGCGAGCGTCATCCTCCTGAGTCAGAGCTCTGACCTCTACACCCCTAAAACATCCACTGCTTCTTCGTCAGTTCTGCACGGACGGCTGACGACAGTAACCGCAACCAGCATTGCGGGTTACTGCAATGTGCCTGGCAATTCTAAGCACTCTGCACGTACTACCCCCCTCACTCCTCAGAAATGGATGCTAAGCGATCCTCCTAGGTTGCCCAACTAAGTGGTGAAGCCAGGACTTGAACTGAAGCAGTCCAGCCCCAGAGACGGTGTTATCCCCGGGGCCAGCCGCCTCTACCTACCAACCACAGAGAACGCGGCACGGGCGCTGACAAGTGCTCCGCCCCCGCTCCCACGGCACACACCGCGGCTCGGTCTCAGCCTTCTCCCGGGGCCCTCGCCGAGGGACAAGGAGACCACATAACTCGCTTCAGGTCACACAGCTGGGATTTAAGCCCAGGCAGGTCGTCACTACCACACCTTTCTCCTACTCTACACCACGATAACCACTTTCCATGCTAAACCATCCCCATTTCCTGGAAGAAACTAAGACCCTAACTTGCCCATATCGTGCTGCTTGCCGAAGTCAGAGGGGGGCGGGGAGGCTCTCTGCTATCAGACAATGCCAAAAGGCTCTGAAAATACATCTCACCCGAGCGTCCCGACAATGGCAGCAGCTGACTGGCGGTGTTCTCTGCTGCACGAGGCCTCAGGACCAACAATCCTGCCTCCCTCCCCCAGCCTCTGCATTAAAAATTCCCCACTGGGCCCACACTATGGCTGGCGTAGCTCAGTGGATTGAGCGCGGGCTGTGAACCAAAGCATCTCAGGTTCTATTCCCAGTCAGGGCACATGCCTAGGTTGCAGGCCACGGCCCCCAGCAACCACACACTGATGTTTCTCTCTCTCTCTTTCTCCCTCCCTTCCCTCTCTAAAAATAAATAAATAAAATCTTTTTAAAAATATTAAAAAAAAAAATTCCCCACTGGGCCCGGGGCACTGCGGCTCAGTGGCCTGAGCACCAGCCAGTGAACTGAAAGGTTGCTGGTTTGATTCCTAGTCAGGGCATACCCTCTCTCCTTCCCTTCCCCTCTAAAAATAAATAAATAAAATCTTTAAAAAAAAATAAAAAATTTCCCCACTTGATGCTGGGAGATGCCTGCAAGCTCCCGGATGCCCCTACCTGGTAATGGATCACGTGCTGGACTTTGGGGATATCCAAGCCCCGGGCCGCCACATCGGTTGCCAGCAGAACACAGCTGTGGGAGAGAAAGCAAGCTCATTAATAACACCTAAGAGCTGCCACTAATTAAATTCCTACCACCTGCCAAGCACTCTAAACACTACAACCCTTACCAACACCCAGTGAGCTGATACTGTTTCTCTCCCTCTTATGGAGTCAGAAGCAGGCCCAGAGAGGCACCTGCCCAAGGCACACGCGGCCGCAACCCACAGGCCGCCCTCAGCGACACTGAGGACCACCTCCGGTGGACTAAGTGCAGCCACGCACAGTCCAGGCTGGTGGCTGCTCACCTCCCTCCAGTCACACGATGTCCTCGCTCTTCCCCAGACATGCCACACATGCCCTCTGCCTTTAAGCCTTTGAACTTGCTACACCTTAGGTCTTAAAAGGTCTTCCTCAGATACTCACAACTCCCCCCTCCCTCCCACTCTCTGCTCAGATCCCACCAGATCACAGGGGCCTCCCTGGCCGCACGCACAGCCTGCGCTCCCCACACAACTCCACGGTTCAACACTTAGTAGCACCCTGCTTCTCAAGTTACTGTTTCCCTCTGCAGGAGTGTGAACTCCGTGGGACTCTGTATTATCCACTGTGCTGCAACCAGCCCCTAGACCAGCGCCTGGCTGCAAAGTGTGCACTGGGTAATACGTGTGGGGTGATGTTTCTTAATGTGTGCGTGCACAGTTCAAGAAAGCACCTGAGGTCTGTTTTAAAAACTTAAGATCCTGGGCCCTTCAAGATCCAAACTCCTTATATCTATGAAGACGGAAAGCTGAATATGATGCAAACTAAAGTTTGTAAAACATGAGACCATTGTTCTAAGTCAAGGCCAGCAGACTTTTTCTGCAAACAGCCAGACTGGAAACTACTCTTGGCTTTGTGGGTGTTAGCCTCTGCTGGAACTACTCGGCTCTGCTGTTCTAGTGCAAAAGCAGGTGCAAACAATACATTAATGAACCTTGCTGTGTTCCAATCAAACTTTACTTACAGAAACAGGCGGTGAGCCGGATCCGGCCCATGGGCCAGTTGGCCAACCCCCGGTCCAGTCAACCATGAACTCTACCTACCAACAACATTCGGAAGGAGGTAAACCAGACACTTGTTCTAAAAGTAATCACCCAGCAACCTGACAAAAACCGCTGTGGGCAAACGCCAGTTAGAGTCAGCCTCAACTTCCCAGGCCCTCGTCTTGCCAGCGTGCCCCCTGCTGCCCGGGCACCAGTCCGGCTCTGAAGCAGACGGGACAATGACAGCATGCAGGGCACAGCGTGAGCTCGGGGGCCTGCCGGGCTGTCGGAGGCCCGCTCTGCCAGGCTGATTAGCTTCTCTAGAGCTTACTTCTCTCGCCTATAAAATGAGGATGACGACAGTAAGTGATACTAAAGCTAACATCCAGCAAGTACACACTACGTGCCAGGCATCGTTCTACACACTTCATATGCGTAAATTCACTGGTCTTCATAACAGCCCTCCGAGGTGGCTATCACTACACTAATCATGAGAAAACTGAAACAGAGTGGTAATTTGACCAGCTAAACGTGGCACAGCCAGGATCTGATCTCAGGCAGTCTGGTTCCAGTCTGCACTCGCAACCATCGATCTGCTCTGCTGCTTCTCAAGACCGTCAGAAGTGAGTGCAGTAATGGATCTACAATGCCAGCACGGTACTCAATCTACTGCTAAGTGTCCATTATGTTGGGTATTGCTGTCTTCACTGCTCGTTACCAAGGACGTTTCTGCTGGGCATCACCTGCAGCCAGCTGCATTAGACGAGGGTGAGCCTGCCTCACGCCGCCGTGCAAACAAAGGGCACCTTCTACCGACGAGGCCCCCGAGACAGAAGGGAGCTTCCCCCCATCTCCCCGTCACCCTGGCAACCTGGCCCCAATGGCTAGAGGCGGGCGGGGCCCTAGGGACAGGCCGGACTTACTCTTCCAGGCGGGCAAACTGCTCCAGGTTTCTGAGCCTCTGCTTCTGGTGCATGCACGCGTGCAGGGTCAGCGGCATGATGTCCAAGACCTTGAGGAGCCCCGAGAGGCGCTTGATGCAGGAGATGCTGTTGGCAAACACGAGGGTGCGGCCGGGGTGCTGCATCAGGAAGTAGTACAGATACAAGTCCTTCTCGTCGTTCTCACAGTGGATCTTGGTCTCTGTCAGCGTCTCCACGGTGGCTTCCTTCCTTGTGAGGTCAATGACCTTGGGCCTGCCTCTCATGCCAATCTTCTGCACGAGAAGGTCAAGTTTGGCAGTTTTGTCAATTTTCTTGGTGTGCTTCTTGTGAAGGATTCGAGCAGGAGCTTGATGTACCAGGGTCAGTGTAGCGGAGAAAACAAGTGTCTGTCGCTTCGGGTTGTACTGGGAGTCACTGAGCATCTCTAGCAGCTGTGACAGCTCAGCGAAGTGGCCCTTCTCCACCATCCGGTCAGCCTCGTCAATCACCAGGCACCTGCAGATCGGACGCCCGCATCCATTAGCAGCCGGGAAGAAGAGCCATCTACAGCGGGGGTGCCCGGCCCACGGCCCTCGGCCCAGCACTGCTCTGCCACCTGTTAGGGACCGGGCTGCACAGCAGGAGGTGAGCAGGGGGCGGGCGAGCGGAGCTTCACTCTCATTACTGTCCAAACACCACCTCCCGTCCTCCTGTCTCCCCCGCAACCCCCCTGCTGTGGAAAAATTATCTTCTACGACACTGGTCCCTAGGGCCAAAACTGTTGGGGGCTGCTGATCTAGGGCAATCTACCATCACCCCCACCCTCCACACACACGCACACACACACACCCACTAGCACCACCACCATGCGGGGGCCTCAACTAACCTCCCCCATGCACGCTCGGCTTTCTGAAGGCCAAGGTCTGGCCGTACAGTACCACCCCATGGCACTTTGTGACAGGGAGAAGGCACTGCGCACACGGCCATGTCACCTCAGGCCCGCCTCAGAACGTGGGGGGGGGGGGGGCAGCCACTGCCTCCCACCTGAGCTGCCGCAGGTCGCTCAGATGAGGGTGCTTTTCCTTAACCAGCTCCCACAGCCGGCCTGGAGTGGCGACCACGATCTCGGGCTGGCGGTTCAGCATCCTCTGCTGCTTCTGCGTGGACATTCCACCAACCAAAATGGCAGTTTTAATGCCTACGACACACAAAACATAGGGGACACTGTTGCTCCTTCTGACACAGGATCCCCGGGTTAGCAGAGGCAGTCAGTGACCACCAGCACAGCTCCCCTCTCCAGGGGGGACTGCTCGTGCCACCCCCGAGGACTTCCCAGGTCTTCTATGCACTGGGCCCTGCCTATGTCCCCCGCCTCATCTCCTTCCACTCCCTCCCCTCCAACCACAATGGAAAGGACACATCTGAACCTGGGCGTGCCTACACCCACAGCTCCAGAAAACTGGGCAGCGCCCCACCGCAACCAACGCTGGAATGGCGCTCCTCGTGGGTGTGACACGCCTCCCCCAGGAAGCCCTGCCCGCCGCCTCCGTCAGAGTCAACCTGAATCTCCTCTGACGCCGACCGCTCTCCTCCTCGCTCGTGGAGGGCCCCTCAAGGTACCCAGTGTGAGAGCCACACCCGGTCGCAAAGTGCTCAGAAGAGTACCTCATGCACAGCAGGAGCTTGGTAACTAACCGCTGCTTTTACTATACAGTTCGAATTCCCACTGAGCAGTGAGTTCTGCCCAAAAGGAGTTCCACGGGAGAATTAGGTCCTGAGGCTCTAAAGCAGAGGTCAGCCAAGTTTTCCCTAAAGGGTCAACGGTGAACACCTCTGGCGTTGTGGTCTAAATGGCTCTGCCTCGGTGGTACCGAAGCCACCCCCGACGACGATGTGTAAATGAACGGGCGTGGCTGCACTCTATTGACAAAAGCAGGCAGTGTGCCAAACCCTGCCCTAAGCATACACGGTATCCCATAGATTATTCTCCTGTGCATCGACAACGGCACTAGCTGTGTGTCCTTCTTGGGACAACCGAGAAAGCGTCACGCAGTTTTCTGCAGGACTGAATTCTCTGACAGACGAGGAAGGTTCCCCTGGAGGGCAGAAGCCGAGCCCGTCCCCCTTGGCCACCCCAGCACCAGGACCCTCTCAGGAACGTTTAGTAAGTAGAACCGAAGCTCACCTGTAAACCTGGCCACAGCATCCATGTGCTGCTTGACCTGCACGGCCAGCTCTCGCGTGGGGGTCAGAACCAGTCCAAGCAGAGGACGCTTCGCATGCGTTCTGCAGGCCACAGCCTCGCCACCCGACTCCTGCTCCAGCTCTCCAGGCCGCTCGTCATCGAGCTCTCCCTGCCTGTCCTTGTCCTGTCTGGGGGCCAGCGTCTCCCTGATCAGGGAAGAAGGTCCTTCGCCAGCATCGTCGTCACGGAGGGGCAGCACCTGGTCTGAGGCGGCAGCTCCGGGCTCGGCTCTTGCCTTGCCGGGTGGTGCTCTGGGCTTCGTTCCAGCCTCACCGGGCCGCGCGTCACCTGCACCTCCAAGCTCAGCGGACGACGCTGCAGATTCAGCTCCGGCCTCGCCTGGCGGTCCCTCCTCGGCGCCAGTCTCGCCAGGCGCTGCCGCTGCGGCCCTCAGAGGTGGGGCAGGCTTCTTCGCCTGCCGCTGCAGCACTGCATGGATCATCGGAATGGCGAAGGCCAGCGTCTTCCCACTTCCTTAGAAGTCAAACGAGCAAACAAAAACAGTGTGTATCAGCAGGTGCACATACTGTTGTCTGGGGTTCGTTCTTTCACACAGAATAAGGCACCCCTGAAACAGCAAAGTGCCACCCAAAGCCCCTCCACCCTACGTAAGTTTCCTTACAGCGCTGAACCTGTAATTTAGGAGCCTGAAGAAAACCGTGCCAAGTGGCATCGAAACCTGAGGTCACCAACGATGGACTACAGACAAACGTCCAAGCAATGAAAGCCCCAAGACATGGAAAAGTTGTGCATGTGTGTGTTTTGTTGTTGTTGCTAAGGAACCACACAAGGGGGCGGGGATTAAATAATGGAAATCTACATCCTATTCTCCCAAGACCTTTCTGTGGTGCAGAAGGAGGGGTTTAAGAAAACATTCTGCCCTGGCTGGTGTGGCTCAGTGGACTGAGTGCCAGCCTGCAAACGTACAGGTCACTAGATCAATTCCCAGTCAGGGCACAGGCCTGAGTTGTGGGCCAGATCCCCAGTTAGGGGTGTGTGGGAGGCAACCAATCAATGTATCTCTCACACACTGTTGTTTCTCTCTCTTTCTCCCTCCCTTCCCCCCTCTCTAAAAGTAAATAAATATTTTTTAAAAATTGTTCAGTTGATGAGAAAATTTTAACCACCTGCATGAGAAGGTGGTCTATGCTTAAACATCACCAACCCGGCCTTTAAATATATATGGAATCCAAATTCGTATCACCTGGGTGGTCAAAACAAAACAGTCTTGGCTGGCGTGGCTCAGTAGATTGAGTGCCGGCTGTGGACTGAAAGGTCACTGGTTCGATGCAGATCACATGCCAGGGTTACAGACCAGGTCCCCGTTAAGGAAGTGTGAGAGGCAACCAGCTGATGTAACTCTCACACATCGATGTTTCTCTCCCTCTCTTTCTACCCCCCTTACCCCCTCTCAAAAAATAAACAAAATCTTTAAAAAGTATTAAAAACAAAATACCTCAAGGTGAGAATTTAAAGTACCGTAGTTCCAAAGTTGTAAAGCCTAAGCAGAAACAAATAAATGAGCTCTGGAAGAAAAACTCTTTATCACAGGCCTCAAAAAAATTATAAAAAAATAATTTTCAGAGGAAAAGGAGCAGCTCTCAGCATTAAAAAATCCACAAGGAAATTAGTTACTGTAAGCAAGACCTGGACGGAAAAAAGAGGGCAAAAACAGACCTACAATACTTCAGGTAAGAAAAACAGCACTTTCCATCAGAAACAATGAAACTAGAAGACAGAGTAACCAACATTTGTCCTTGAAGACTTGAAAAAGTAACTGACAATCTAGACCTCTACACTCAGCAAAAATCTCTTTCAAAATAAGTGCAAAATAAACACTTTTTTAGGCATTCAAAACCTAAAACAATTTATCACCAGTAGACCTGAACTATAAAAAAATATTAAAGGAAGCCTTTCACGCAGAAGAAAATCTGGACCAGCAAAAAATGAAGAGCACAGAAATGGTAACATGAACAAATACAAAAGATGTAATTTTCTTATTTACACTTCCCTTTAAAATAGTTGACCAGTGAAAGCAAAAATAACAAAAATGTATTTTGGGATTTCTAACATATATAACGCACGAAACAAAAAAGCACAGACGACGAGAACAGAAATATCAGAGGCTGCCTGGGGACAAAAAGGAGGGAGGCCCGGGAAGGAGGGATTACGAAGAGCTGATGGGCAAGTGCACCGTCCACAGGCAGCGGCCTGCCCACAGCCCCCATCTCTCTGAATCTCCGGCCTGCAGGCTCCCAACATTCCATGCGGGGGGCCTGGTAAGAGCTGTGGTGGAAATCCACTGTCAGGCTCCAGCCACAGGGGCCCACAACGACCCTGCCTCTCTGCCTCCAGACACCTACTTCCAGGCCCCTGCAGCCGAACGTGTGACGGCACGAAGACCCGGGCTGGAATGCGGGCAGTGGCGCTGCCAGCGACTCGGCTTTGGAGGCTTTGGAGACGGCGTTCACCCTCTGTCATGCACGGTTTCCGCACCAGCAAGATGCGGATGATAATGGAATTTACCCGGGGCGGATGTGAGAACTTAACACACAGCCTGGCGCATTTTAAATGCCAAGTCAGCGTCTGAGTCGTTACCACCTCCATTCCCTTTAGTGGGCTCTCCTGGCTCCTCTGGCGGCGTGACTCGAACACAGGACCTTGCCCCCCACCTCCTGAGCCTCCTTCCAGGAGGCACTAAGTGTGGAGCTGGTCTAGTTCCAGGCCACACGATGCAGCAGTCACTAGCCGCATAGCGCTATCGAGCACCGAGGATGTGGCTACTCTAATTCGAGCTGTGCAGCGAGTTCAAAATACACATCGGATGTTGAGAACTTCGTGTACAAAGGAATGTAGGTTATTCTCTGGAGCATTTGAGATCTTAGTTCCATATATGTGGTCAGTTTGGCTCAAATACACTCTTATAAAAAATAAATAATAAAAAAAGAAATGTAAAAGGGCTCATAAATAATTCTACATAAATTACATACTGAGAAGTTTTTAATATTGTTGGTTAAATATATCATTAAAATTAATTTCACCTCTTCTTCTGTACCTTTTTAACACGGCTCCTAGGAAATTTAAAACTATGCACGTGGCTCCTGTTTACATATATTCCTGCTGGTCTAGTTGGACTACCAGATCCAGGCGGTACGAGCTCCTCCCCCCAAGCCCCTAGTTTAGTCCACCCAGGGAGTCCACCTGTCACTCTTCAAAGTCTGGATGGCCCGGAGAGGCGATGCTTTCGTTGAAAGCCTAGTCCTAGCAGTCACCTAACGCCCAATCTGCCTATGTGGTTACCTACCACACACTCAGACCCTTCCAATGACAATAAACTCACCAATTCCCAAAGTCGTCCTGTGCACCTTTGGACAACTCCAGAATTCGACACTTCTTCTGTATGCTAACGAAGATCTACCTCTCCAGAGGGCTGATCTCGGCCCTACTTTAACCCTGAGCCATTCGGAAAAGGCTGGAGAACAGGAAAAAACTACCACTTGCAGCTCACTTACAATGACTGTGTACATTTTAGTCTACTGTGGCGTTCACATTTAACCCAGAGCACAAGAAACGGGTACTGCTGTTATTCCCATTTTATAACAGGGCCTACACTCACTGCTCAGAGAAAGGAAGTGACTTGCCGAGGGCACCAATCGGAACTGGCCGATTGCAACCCTGAGCTGGCTGACTTCCAATCACCTCCGTGAAACATTGATTTAGTGGTTCTTCTCCCAGCAGCCACAGGCTACACCCGGAAGCAATCTCGCCCTGGCCAGAGAAGGGTGCCTCACCTGTCTCAGCAGCCCCGAGGATGTCCAGCTTGTCACGGATGGCAGGCGCCAAGGTCAGAGCTTGGATGGGTGTGGGTGCAGAGAAGCCGAGGAAGCTGAGCGCGCGGAGAACTGGCTTGGGTACGAACAGATCCTTCCAGGCCGACACGTCTGCCTTCTGGTCGTGCACTTCGGGCAGCCACGTCTTCACTCTTTTGGGCACCTTCGCAGTAGGAGCCTGGGAAGGCTCTGGGGTTTTCTTCCCTTTCTTTTTCTTCTTTTTCAGAGCAGTCAGGGCCAGGCTTCCTGACGCCGCCTCCCCTACCTCTGGCTCTGGACACGCCGGGCCATCTCCCTGGGGCTCTGGCTCCGCATCTTTGACCTGAAACTCTTTCTGGGCGTTGGGTCCTTCGGTGTCTACGTCTTTCCTCTTCTTCAACTTCATTTTTTTCTTTGAGGAGCTACACTCTCCTTCCTCCTGTCCTTCCAAAACAGCTTGGGCCTTTCTTTTCTTGGGCTCCTCCTTGGAGAAGAGACTGGAGGGATTCTTGGCAGGGGAAACCAACCGGTAATCCGTCAGTTCCTCAAAGCACACCAGGTCATCCATCTGTCCATCTGCAAATACACTTGGGTCGATCTTCACCTGCTTCCATTTTCCCACAACTTTGATTCCCTTCATCTGCAACTTGCCACAGCTTCGGGACTTGGGCCCTGATTTTGTCTCCTTCAACTTCATGGTTGCTGAAAAGGAGAAATGTTCCATTAGGTTGCCAGCTGAGAAGCATGGGGTCTGAGGCAACAAATATTTTCTAAGCAGCCCAGAGACTATCACGCACTGCAAGGAAGTGAGGACACGGCACCGGCTCTACCACTGAGGCTCCCGCAGGTACTAGAGAAGATCAAAGGAGGAAAGAAATATACCACAGGCGGCAAACACAAGGCCCACGGGCCAAATCCAGCTCTTTACCTTGTTTTATCCGGCCTGGCACTTTGCTTCTACCCAGTGGCAGCGCCCAACTCTCACTTAACAGTTAAGGAGTAGTTACATTTGTACAGTCCTAAAGTTACATTCAGCCCTTTGAAGGCAACCTGGAGGCTGATGTGGCCCCCAGTGAAAATGAGTTTGACAGGCCTGAACTACACCCTCAAAGCAGGCAGCCTGGCCTGGAACGGGGGGACACACAAGGTGGAGCAGACACACGAGACAGATCCGGTTTGGATTCCAGATCCAATTCCGCTTGTGTGCCTTGGAAAGCCCTGCCGCATCCTCTCCGAACCTCAGTGCTCTCATCTTTTAGAAAGGAGGAAGGACCTAATAATGTCACAGAATGTTTGATGAAAAGCATGGAGGATAAATTCTGCCCCACCCAAGCCATTCTGAAGGCAGAATAAAAATCTGGGGGTTTTTTTTTTGGGGGGGGCGGTAACTGAGGGGAGACCCCTTTATTGAAAGTGAACAGAATTTTCTTCCTTCCCAAGTCTTGCCCCAAGACGGCAAATAAATGTCTGTCCCACCATTCCCGGCCTTTGCCAAACGTCTTAAAAACATCCACCTTTTTCATTACATGTGAACTGATTAAGAAATACAGCGTCCTGCAGGAAACGCAAAGGTGAGACCCGGTTTAAAGCAGGACGCACTCGTAGCTCTGAGGCTGTGCTCGTCCTACTGATGATCTCTGGGCCTCAGTTTCCCCGTCTGTAAAATGGGGGCGATAAGGCTATTGGCTTCATTGGATCCTGACGCATATACAAAAAGGTGACGCACGTCAAAAGCCACACGGCAGGGCGCCTCGCGAGATGAGAGCAGCGGCCCACTGGAGGGCTCGCCCACCGAACCAGCTCACCAGGAGCACAAACAACCCGAGCTCCACCACGAGAGGCGTGCGCGATGCTCACGCACGTGGGGACGCTGAGCGCTGCCCGCAGATCGAGCCGGGTCCCTCCTCGCGGCGCCTGGCCCCGAGACTGGCGTCGCCACTCGTCTTACGCACGGGCAGCAGAACGAAGCAGAGAAGACGAGGCCGCAGATCGACGCCCCCCGAATGGCCCCCGCGCGGGGTCGGCAGTCGGCCGCCCTCTCTGCACCCGAGAATCCAGGGGCCGGGGGAGGCCCGCGATGGGTCCCCGGGAGCCTGCCCCCAGCTCCTCCCCAGCCCCGACACGCACCGTGTGGAGACGCCGCCGAGGACCCCTCCGATGCCGGGGGACAAACCTCAAAAGAAGACACAGTCTTGTCTCAGCTGCAACACCAACCGCAGTTCCGGGGCGGAGCCTCTTCTGGCGCACGGGATCTCTCAGCGGCAGGAAGTCCCGCCCCCATTCTAGACACAGTCATTTGATTCGCTACCGGTTGATAACAAAGATTTCTGCAATGTGGGAGTGGAGAGGGCGGAGGTTCAGGGTTTGGAGGGCGTTGCTCTTCCCTCGATTAGCGGGGCAAGGGAAGGTCTCTTTGCTCCAACAGCCGGCTCCGGCGGTGGGACGCAAGCTTGGTTGTTTTCAACTTGTAGTGCAGCAGCTGCTTACCTGTGAGTGTCACCTTGCAAATGTTTTAGCAATTAATTTGCAACCCCACCAGCCTGCATTGGAGGTGCTGTTTCCTCAGTTTTTTCTTGCCTCGCCTGTTCACTGATGGTGAGGGCAGGTCCGCGCCCAGGCTTGAACCACAAAGCTAAACTGGCTCCTTTCTTACATGCAGAGAGATCGGCTTCCCAGTCTGGGGAACTGTGGGAAGCCCGAAAGCAGCGGTCCCCAACCTCTTTGGCCCCAGGAATCGGTTTTGTGGAAGACAATTTTTCTGGGGGTGGGGGACAGGGATGGTTTCCAGATTATTCAAGTGCGTTATATTTATTGTGCACTTTATTTCTATTATTATTACATTGTAATATATAATGAGACAGTTATGCCACTCACCATAATGCAGAATCCGTGCAAGCCCTGAGCCTGTTTTCCTACAACTAGACGGTTCCACCTGAATGAGGGGAGACAGTGACACCTGAAGTCTGTTGCTTATGTCTGGTTTATTCTGTCATCTTGTTTTGGTGGCTGTCACTGCAGAAAACCCTGCTTCACAAAGGATGTTAGCAATGGAAGCAGGCTTTCCAGTGCTTTTGTGGCCATCTCAGGATATTCTGCCTTGACTTTAATCCAGAACATATGGAGATTTTAAGTTGTCTCAAACATACTTTTTTTTTATTGATTATGCTGTTAGTTGTCCCAGTTTTACCCCTTTGCCCCCCTCTGTCCTGTATCTCCCTTCCCCCCAGCGTTCCTCCCCTTAGTTCATGGCCATGGGTTGTGTAAGTTCTTTGGCTTCTCCAGTTCCCATACTATTTTTAACATCCACCAGTATGTTTTGTACCTACAAATTATGCTTCTTATTTCCCTCTACCTTCTCCCCCATTCTCCCCCCTCCCCCTCCTGGCTGATAATGTCATCTCCATATCTGTGATTCTGTTCCTGTTCTGGTTGTTTGCTTAGTTTGTTTTTGTTGTTGTTGTTTTATATTGGTTTCTTTTTTAGATTCAGTTGTTGATAGCGGTGAACTTGTTGCCTTTTTGATGTGTGTGGTTTTGATCAGGTCCCTTTAACATTTCCTGTAATAAGGACTTGGTGATGATAAACTCATTTAGCTTTACCTTGCCCGAGAAGCTCTTATCTGCCCTCCTATTCTAAATGATAACTTTTCTGGATAGAGTAATGTAGGCTGTAGGTCCTTGCTTTTTGTCACTTTGAATACTTCTTGCTAGTCCTTTCTTGCCTGCAGTATCTTTTGAGAAATCAGCTGATAGTCTCATGGGAATTTCTTTCTACATAACTCTCTGTTTTTTTCTTGCTGCTTTTGAGATTCTCTCTTTATCTTTAACCTTTGGCATTTTAATTATGATGTGGCTTGGTGTGGTCCTCTTTGGGTCCAACTTGTTTGGGATGCTCTGTGCTTCCTGGACTTTTGTGTCTGTTTCCTTCACCAAATCAGGGAAGTTTTCTTTCATTATTTTTTGAAATGAGTTTTCAATTTCTTGCTCTTCCTTTTCTCTTTCTGGCACCCCTATGATTAGGATGCTGGCATGTTTGGAGATATCCCAGAGGCTCCTAAGCCTATCCTCATTGTTTTGAATTCTTGTTTCTTCTTTTAGTTTTGGCTGAAAGTTTATCTCTTCCTTATGTTCCAAATCGTGGGTTTGAATCCCAGCTTCCTTCCTTTCCTTTTTGGTTTCCTGTGGATTATTCTTTATTTCATGTAATGTATCCTTCATTTCTTCCTTTATTTTTCTGCTGTACTCAGGGAGTTCTCTGAGTATCTTGATAACCAGTGTTTTGAACTCTGCATCTGATAGGTTGGTTATCTCCATTTCGTTTAGTTCTTTTTCTGGGGTTTTGTTTTGTTCTTTCATTTGGGCCATATTTCTTTTTCTCTTCTTCAATTTAGCAGCCTCCCTGTGTTTGATTCTGTGTATTAGGCAGAGCTGCTTTTACCCCCTGTCTTAGTAGTGTGACCTATGCCGAAAGGCACCTGTAAAGCTGATTCACCTGGTTGATTCACAAATGGGTCGCGGACCCATTCCTTCCCAGTTCGGGGGTCTTCTTTGGTCGGGAAGCAATGCTCAGACTCTTTTAAAAGCTGAGACAGGTGCTCATGCACTGGCTGGAAGAGAGAAGGCCCTGGCTCAGTCTCTTTCAAAGTCTGTGCTGATGTTTGAAACGTGTCAAAAATCCCAATGTTCACTTGTCACCTCCATAATTCCAGTTTGGCTTTGAATGCAGCCCCTTTAGCTGCTGAGTTGAACACAGTTGTCACTCTCCCCTGAAGTGACAGATTGAGTTTCTTGAGCAGGTTGAATATGTCACACAAGTAAGCAAGTTTTGTGACCCATTCTGTGTCACTGAAATGTGCTGCCAGTGGTGACTGTTTTTCTAAAAGAACTCTCTGGAATGGCTCTCGTAACTCCCAAACTCTGACCAGCGATCAACCTGTAGAAAGCCGTCTCACTGCCGTGTGTAAGAGAGGCCGTGTGTGCTCTGCGTCCATCTCCTCACAGAGCTGCGTGAACAGACACGAATTATGGGCATGTCCTCTATTTAATCACACCCTGCAGAACGTTGTTAAGGTCAGGTGACACTCTTCGGCTAGCCGGCATTTCTCTGTGGGTGACACAGTGCACAGACTCGCACTCAGAAGCGACCTCTGCGGCCCGAGCAGCGAAACCAGAAAGCCGTCCGGCCGTGGCAGCTGCTCCGTCCGTGCACACACCGACCGACACACAGTGAGCAGTGCAGTCCTCCTGCTGCGGGACCCTCACAGACGGGAGCGGTCCTGCAGTGGAGGCGTCGGCGGGCAACAGAAGCACATGACGCATCCTCCTGAAAAACGTATCGCATGAAAACAAGACGCGTCAACCTAGACCGCGGACCACGGTGCCTCATTAATTAACCCTCTCTGACAGTTGTGCCTCGATACCCTCTGCTATTTCGTCGAGTCGCCTCGTGATGGTGCTGGGTGGAAGTGGGGCACGTGCCACCTTCTGAGCTGCAGCCTCTCCTAAGGGTTCAGGACGAGTGTCCTCGGCAGCAGCGGCAGGACCAAGTCCTCACCGACAGCGAGGGGCTTCTCGGCTTCAGCGATGCAGGCGGCCACCCAGCACGGTGCTCTCTCTCGGTGCAGACGCCTTCGGTGAAGGGGCGGCCTCCAGTAATCGCTTCTGTCCTTCCTGTGCATGTTTTCTTCTTCTGAAAAACTCCAAAGGCTTGTCTTTCAGTGCAAGGTGCTTGGTGTCCATGTGGTGAAGCAGTTTTGAAGGCTTTGTGGCTTCACTGGATAGCCAGTCATCACATATTATACAGGGCGGGCTTGGAGAAGGTGAGTCCCCTGTTGCGATGAACCCGTAATTTAGGTAAAACTCTGGTGTTTTCTTTGAAATGCAGCTTTCTTTTTGTTGGCAGTCTTAGAGTCTTCTGCTGTCTCATCCTTGGGTCTTTCTGCCTTTTCAAAGAAGCCCTCCAGCGACGTCTGTTTTTTGCTCGTTTTGGTCGGGGCTAGCGCGCGGGCTCACCGAAACTGTGACTGCGACAAGCGCGCAGTGCGGGAAGGAGGGGCGGGTGGAAGCGGTACGAAATATGATGGGTGGGCCACAGCGGGCTGAAATGAGCGTCGGATTCTGACCTAAAGCCTGCCGCCAGATGCAGCTTGGTTGTCACTCGCCACTCCCTGACAGGCTTTCACGTGAGTCTGCGAGCAACCGACTTACTACGGTCTCCGTGCGGTCGGACCTCTCTGCTGGCAGTGACCTGTGTTTGCAGCCCACACAGGCAGCACTAGCATCTGTACACGCTAGATGCACACCCAGCACTAGCATCGCCGCCTTGGCCCCAGCTCAGAGCACCAGGTATTGGATTCTCGCAAGGAGCACACAGCCTAGATCCCTCGCATGCGCCGTTCACAGGAGGATCTGAGTTCCCGTGGGAATCCAACGCCGCTGCTGATCTGACAGGAGGTGGAGCTCGGGCGGCAATGACAGTGACGGGGAGCCGCTGTGAATGCAGATGATGCCTCTTCACTCACTTGCTCACCATTCGCCTCCTGCTGTGCAGCCCAGTTCCTAACAGGCCCTGAACCGCTGTTGGTCCATGGCCCGTCATTTGGCGACCACTGCCCTAAAGGAAATGGGGGAGATCACCAAGCTGAGGTCGTGTGAGCCTCCCTGTCCCCTTGCAGCCACCATGAGACAGAACTTAACTCATTTCTTGGGGGACTTTGCCAGTGTGTCCCCAAGTGTCTGGGTGGCACAGAGCCTGTGTCCTGGTGGTGCCTGAAGGAGTCTGACAACAAGACTGGAGCTGTCCCCGATGGCAGAGCGACGATGAGGAGCTTCATGTCTCTCCACGGCAGGACAAAGATTCCCGTCTCCCCTGGGCAGTTATGCACCTCGGAGGGTGAGCTCTGGCCGCCAACCTTTTGCTCTGGCAGTTGGGCTGAACCCGGTGGCTTAGAAAATGGGAAGCAAAGGCGTCAGTGACCATGAGTAAGCCCTCGTGGGATCAGGATATGTGGATAGACATCTGGGTCCACCTGCAGGAGCCCGAGGCAGTCCTGCTTCCCACACTCTGGCTCATAAAGCACTGACACCCCGCCCCCCCCGGCAATCAGGAAGCTGATGCCCTAGCTCCAGTACCAGCCCTAGGAACCGACTCCTCAGTGGATACGGCTGATTGGGTGTGTCAGGGAGCGGCCACTGCATTATCTGGGCGGGATGGCCATTTGCCCTTGACATACAGTGACTTGGTTAACACAGTAGCAGCCTGTCCTGTGTGCGCGAAACAACAGCAAAGGCAACTACCGAAGGAGGAAGGAGCCTGGGACTGTCCAGCAGTGCTCCCAGCCGGTGGGAGATAAGTAAATTGGTCCCTCCCTGTGAAGGAGGGTTCCAGATATGCCTCGGTCTATTTGGTCATTGCAGCCGACTTCACCCCAGCTTTACCATGTTGGTGTGCAGCCCAGGTGGCCACCAGTGGAGGGGGCTTCGAGAAGCTGAGTGTCACGTATGGGGCACTGTGGTGTGTTGAAATCAGGCTATCCTGCAGACTGGCCCGCACTCACCCCGTCTTGGCGTTAGCAAGGCGGAGGTGGCGTCTCCCTGGCTCTGAGCCCGGAGCGAGCGTGACTCACTGGGTTCACGTGACCCTTGGGGTTGGGTTGCACATCCTGCTGGAGGCCTCAACAGCCTCACCACACACAGGACTTTTGACACAGCTCTGCCTTCTCAGGCAGTTACTTTCCAAAGTAGGCAGAGGCATGGGAGGTGCGAAAGGGGAGAGACTGCCCCTCGCATCGTCCCTCTTTGCTGCCATCCAGGGCTGCTGTCACTGTGATCAGAGGTGAGTGTGCAGGGAAGGGGTTTGAGCCCCACGTTTGCCCTAAGACTCAGGGTGGGCAGGGGCCAGTGGTGAGGGGACAGATGAACAGAACCCAGGAGACCAGGGAGCCAGGCAGAGTCGTTAAAGTTACAAAGCTGGGGTCTGTGCCGATTTGGGGGGGTGCCGGAAGGGGCCCACGGAGGGCGGGGCTCCGAGCTCCGGGCTCCAGAGAGGTGCCACACCCACCCCCAGTCCATCACAAATCAGGTGCAGCCCTTTGGTTTTCAGACTCTGTTTCCGGGAAACACAGTGGTGACTGTACTGCTGTGCACCTAGTATTCCCGCACCGCCACCAAGATGTCAGTGGAAGCCATAGAGAACGGGGAAGGATTTGTGGCAGATGCGCTCCTGCAGGAGTTTCAGTCGGATGGTGAGTGCCCTCAGGAGGCTCTGGAGGGACCGGTGGCCCGGGGCTTGGGGTGCATGGCCCAGAGCACGGGAGTCTGGGTTCCAGCCTGGAGCTACCACTAAGGTGCATCATATGAGTGAGTCTCTTCCCTCCTGGGCCTCGGCCTGCCCCTCTGTGAGGTGAAGGACCTGCCAGCTCTCAGTGGCCATGTCTCCCTCTCCCTGTCTTCTCCTCGGGCCCATCTCCATTTCCATCACCGCTCAGCACAGCTGCTGCGGAGGTCCCCTCCCCGTCCCAAAGTTCTCGAGAGCGTCCAGCAATGGCAGAGGGTGCCGTCTGGGGCCTTGGGCTCTCATGCCCCCCTCAGGGGCCTGGGGCAGCAGTCTCTGGTCCCACAGCTGCCTACCCACTGTGGGCTTCCCCTCTCTGCTTCTTTTCCAGAGGAGGAAGAACCCTCCCAGCCATCCTCTGCTGGTTCCACTCCGGGGGGTCCTCCTCAGGGGTCCCCGTCGGGGCCCGATGGACCTGGCTCGGACTCCACTGACCCACCCACACACGGAAGAGAGAAGTTCTTCCACTATGCAAGTAATTGCTCCCCGGGTGCCGGTCTCCCAGACCTCCCCCCTCCCTCACCGCTCAGGGGCCTTCTGAGTTGTCAGCACTAAAGGCACACGTCCCTGCCGGAGTCTCCGGTACACCACATTGCCAGAGAAGCGGCACGGTGTGTATGGGCAAGGAAGTGAGTGATGCGCTAGCATCAGAGGGACTGCCCTTCGGGTCCTGGCTCTGTGGCCGACTTGCTGAGTGACCCCGAGCCAGACACACGCCATCCCTTAGCCCCGATCCGTTTGTGTCTGAGTACAACGGCCTTGTGCTCCTCACAGAGGCCTGCTGTTCAGGCTCTGGTCCGCCAGGGGCCACGGCTCAGGCCTGGCTCTTTGTCCGTTCAAGTCCACGGCCAGTGCCCTGACCTGTGGGCCCCACAGCACCCAGGCCAGGCTGAGCTTCATTTCTCCCACTGCTCCTCCCCGACGCACCAGGGTGGGGCTGGTAACCTACTCCCAGGACACACTCTCGCAGAGCAGTCTTACCGCTGAGATGCAGCCAGCCCGGGGACAGGCCAGCAAAAGATCCACTCTGCTTTTTTTTTTTTTTTTTTTTTTTTTAGTGTGGCAGATTACATGTCACATAAAACCTGCCAACTTAGCCGTTTGTAAGTGCACAGTCCCGTGGCGTTGAGGGTTTTTTGCACTGTCGTGTGACCGGTCTTCAGAACTCTTCACCTCCCCAAACTGAAATCCCAGCCCCGTTCAGCGCTAACTCCCCACGCCCTCTGCCCCTCAGCCCCTGGCACCCAGCATTCCGCCTTCTATCCCTACGGATCTGACCGCTCTGGGGATGTCATGTGAGTGGTGTTGACTGCAGACATATCCAAACCTGAGGAGAGTTTCACGAGAGTTCATGAGTCCAACCGGTGACAGATGCCGAGAAGCAAGATCTCAGATGTTGCCGAGAGTAACAGTTTTTTAACCATCTGTTGAGCTTTTGAAATTAAGGAGGGGACATAAGAAAGACTGTGGAAAGCCCAGTGGGGACTGGATTTCAGGATAGTTAACGAGATCATGTGCTCTGTCGAGGGTCAGTACGCCCTTCCGGGGTGTTACTTCTGGTATTTCGAAGGTGCGTTAACCTAGATGCACCAGGATAAGGGACCCGGCTGGCTTAAAAGCTTTTACTATAGAAGTCACAGGCCTCCCCACCATGACCTGCCCAGTTAGGGATCTAAGATCAGCCCACCCTGTGAGATTACTTTCCATAGAACCCCTTTTATCGCCCACAGTGGGATCGTCCAGTGTTTGTCTTTCTGTGATTGGCTAATTTCACTTAGCCTAATGCCCCACTGTTCAGCCATGTGTCAGAATTTCCTTCCACCGTAAGGCTGAACGGTACGCCATGGTATGCAGATACCACATTTGTTTATCCATGCATCCGCCTGTGGACACTTGGGTTGCTTACGCCTCTCGGCTGTCCCGAATAATGCCGCTATGAACGTGGACTGCAGGGACCTCTCTCAGACCCCGCTTTCAGTTCCTCTGGGCATGCACGCACAGGTGGGATTGCTGGGTCAAGGGCATTCTGCTTCAGTTGTTTGAGGAGCCGCCCTGCTGATTGCTGCAGCTCCGGCACCGTTTCGCATTCCCACCAGCAGCGCTTGGGGTCCAGTTGCTCCACCTCCTAGCCCACACTGGTTATTTTCTGGGGGGTTTTAGGTAGAAGCCACAGTAGTGGGTATGAAATGATACCTTGTTGTGGTTTTGATTTGTATTTCTCTAATGACCCGGGATGCCGAGCATCTTATCCTATGTGTATTGGCCATTTGTATATCTTCTTTGGAGAAATGTCTATCCAAATTCTTTGCCCATTTTTAACTGGGTTCTTTGGGTATGTTGTTGTGGGAGGGATTCGTTGTATATTCTGAACGCTAACTCCTTATCAGCTACCTGACTTGCAGGTTGCTTTTCCTCCTGTCGGTTGTGTTCTGCCTTAGTCAGCGCTGCTATGACAAAATGCCATAGCCTGGTGGATCGTGAACAACAGAAGTTTAGTTGTCACAGTTCTGGGGGCAGGGGGGTGGGGGAGTCCAAGGTCAAGGCTCCGGCAGACCAGTGCCTGGTGAGAGTCCGCTTCCTAGTCGGCCATCTGTCTGCGGTAACCTCACGCGGCGGGAGGCGCAAAGGGGTTCTCTGGGGTCTTTCATAAGGGAACTGACCCCGGCCGTGAGGGCTCTGTCCTCAAGAGCCAGCCGCTTCTCAAAGGCTCCCCCCCTATGTCGTAATCCCGTCCCATGGGGCATTAGGCTTCACTCCGTGAATTGGGAACACAACACACAGACTAGAGCGTGTCCTTCGACACGCAAAGGCGTGCTCTTGGTCTGTATTTCTTTCTCTGACACTCTCACCCAGCTCCTCCTTGCTCACGGGCCGGTGCCCGGCGCCAGGGAGGGCTTCCAACCGCGTGGCTCTTCCCCGTACCCCAGCAGCGAGCAGATACGTCTCATTCCGTGCGACGTCCACATCGCCCATCGTGGGCAGTGGGGGGGTGATGCCGACCAGGGCGGCAATGGTGGAGGTAACAGGGGCAGCCCGATTCTTGACCTGTGTTGGAGGTGAAATCAGCGGGAGCCGCTGACAGGCCAGAGGTGGAGCGAGAGAGAAAGGGGGGGGGTGGGTCCTAGGAGGACTCCACGACTTTGGCTGCTGAGAGGATGGTGCCGGGCTGCGTGGAAACTCAGGGAGCCAGTGAGGAAGCTGCTAACTCAGGAATCCTGGCGGTGGCCTGGCCTGGGACGGGAGAGGCAAAGAATGGTCAGACTGGGTATTATTGAAGGTCATTCAGCAGCAGTTGTGGGCAGGTTGGAGTGCAGGGAGGGCAACTGGAGAAAACCGACCCCTGGCTGCGTGTTTGGGGCTGCCGAGAGCCTGGTGCTGCCTCTCCCTGGGGCGGAACGGCCACTGGAGGAGCGGCTGCGGGAGGGAGATGAGCCCAGCTCCCTGCATCTGTCTGAGGTGCTTCTCAGACACCCAGCGGACCTGCTGAGTCAGTCTGGGCTGGCCGTGTCGGAGCGCATGCGGCCCCGAGAGCCATGGGGCTGGGCGAGGGCAGCCGAGCGGGGCAACTGCAGTGGAGCGGGGATCTCAGGACTGAGCCCTGGACGTGCCGCCGTCAGAGATCGGGCGGGCGGACGAGAGGAGAGGGGACCAGGAAGGCGAGGCAAGGGGGGCAGGAAGGACATGCCTTCCTGGGAAAGGGTGGTCCCTGAAGGCCAGGTGAGGAAGATGTTTCCTAGGATGGCCGTAAACAGACGTAGTGGCTTAAAACCACAGACATGTACCCTCCCACGGTTCTGGAGGCTGGAAATCCCAAATCACGGTGTCCCCAGGGTCACGCTTCTGGAAGCTTGAGCGGAGAACCTGTCCCATGCCTCCTCTAGCTTCCGGTGGCTGCCCGAAATCCCGGCTGTCCCTTGGTCTGTGGCTGCGTCACTCCAGGTCATCTTTGGCTTCATGCGCCGAGGCGCCTGACCACCGTGCAAGACCGCCCCTCCCTCCACGTAGAAAACGGTTTTGCGGAGCTTTGCCGTAAGGAATGGGCCCAGGCGAGGTGGCAGCTGGAAGAAGATGTGGCGCAGCGGGAGAGGCTGCCTCTATTGTCCAGCTGGGGGGTGGGAGAGCCTGGGTGGACGCTGTTGGGAATGGTCCAGAACAGAGGGACACTGATGGGGAGGAAGCCAGGGAGGAAGGCTAGAGCCGCGCTTCCTCGAGTCGGAGAGAGCAGGCCGGCCCCGCGCACACGGGCGGCCAGGAGCAGGCGCCGCTCCACGCAGAGGCAGGCGGGCAAGAGGAGTGAGGGGGCAGAGACGTGGCGGCCGCAGGGAGCACGCAGAAGCTCTCCTCTGGTGGCCTTGATTTTCTTGGTGGAGTAGGAAGGTGGGGGATGCGGGAAGGTGCAGGTGCAGTAGGCTTGGAGACTGGGCAGAAGCTGCGAATGCTGGGAGTTCCCACAGAGTGGGGGAACGAAGAGGGCAGGAAAACCCGGAGGGCGTGAGCCCAAGAGAGAGAGAGAGGAGCGGAGAGCGTGGGGAGTCTGCGAGGGGCACTTAGGGTGAGCGGGGATGGAATCTGCGTGGGCGAGGGAGACACGGAGGTCGTGGGATGAATGAGGGACGGAGTTGTGGGTTATATTGAGTCCCCTCAGAGAGATGCGTGCGATCCTAACCCCCAGCACCTGTGCCTGTATCTGTAATAAAGGTGTCCGTTGAGGTGCTGGTGGGGTAGCTCCGTTGGTTACATCGTGGTCCTGATACGCCAAGGTTGCGGTTTCGATCCCGGTCAGGGCACATGCAACAGGGCACGATGCATAAGTGAGCAGAACAGCAAGTCGATGTCTCTCTCTCCCTCCCTCCCTCCTCCCCTCCTTCCTTCTCTCTTTCTATCTTATCCATACATAAATAAAAAGGAGTAGTTGGCATTGAAAAGGCATTCAAATATTTTTTTAATTGATGTAAGTTGAGAGGAGGTCCTATTGGAGTGGGGGGTGACGTGTGTCCTTCTGGGAAGAGAAGAGACCCAGGGAGCAGGCCGTGTGAGGACAGAGACGGAGATGGCAGTGATGCGGCCGTAAGCCAAGGATGGCTGGCCCGCCACTGCAGGCTAAGAAGCGGCGGAGAAGGAGCCTCCCCTTAGAGCCTCCAGGGAGTGCACGGCCCTGCTGATAGCTTGAACGCAGACGTCTGGCCTCCGCAACTGGAATATGAGAGAATCGTGGTACCTGGTTACAGCAGCCCCGCTGCTGTACAGATACTGGAAGTGCCAGGGCGAAGACTTGTTCCGGGCTGTGTTGGGGTCAGAGCCTGCAAAGGGAAGAGGAGAGGGACCCTGGGGGACTGCTGGAGGCAGACCATAGGGAGGGGGCAATTGTTGTTAACGACAGGGTCTAGGGCAACGTTCTGCAATAATGAGCGTGTTCTCTGCGTCGTCCAAAGTGGTGACCACTAGCCACAGGTGACGTGTTGGGAACCGCCCTGCCTGGTTTCAGAAGCTGTAATCCCCCGTGGCTAAGGCTGAGTAAAGGATCTTGGGACCATAAGCCACTAAGGAGACAAAGCTTATCTTCCCAGCAGGGGCACCACCTCTGCCCCCTTTACTTCACCCTGCTTGGCCCCAGGAGGATGACTGGTTAGCCAATGATGAGTAAAATTCCTCAAGGGAGGGACGGCCTAAGACAGCCATGGTCACAATGGGGCCATCAGGGAAGGAGTTGGGGGGCTATAGAAAAAGGGGGTGATGGACTCTCACCCCCCGGCTTCGACATAGCCTGAGTCCTCATTCTGTCTGCAAGGAGTCTCCTAATCTCTTGTCTGCCTCACTTCCCCCGCCTGACTTAAGCCTGAAACAATGCCGGAGGTGGGTGCGGCCCTGGGCAGGAATGGGCAATTCCCCCGGGGTGACCGCCTAGGAAAGAATGCACAAAATCCTGTGAAACCTGCTTTGCTAAGAATGCCCTCAATTTTCTGATAAGGGTCCAAGCATAAAATGAGTTTGTTTCCCAAAGTTTTATGGCCCTTTGGCTATCTGACCCTTATGAGAATAAGCCCTCAGAGTTCTTTGAACGTTATGTATTGTTTGATCCTCACTGCCTGACGATGATGAGCTTTAGCTGTACTCCTGTGCGAACTGAACCCAATAAAAGTCCATTGAGGAACAGGCTCAAGCCCTTCTCCTTTGAGAGACTGGCCACCTTTCCTCCCCAAGCAGATCATGGCTTGGTAGACTTATTCTCATCTGTGGCGGACGGAGAGGCTCTACAGGCGGACCCCCCCCTTCCCCCCACAGTGATGTTTGATCACTGGAGGTGTGGCTCGTGCAACAGAGTTTTTAATTTTATTTTAATTGCTTAAGATTGAAGTGGGTACATGTGGCTAGTGGTTACCTTAGCGGGCAGCATGGGCCTAGGGTATGACCATGTGGGGTATAGGGACAAAGACTTTTTGGAAGTGAATTTCTTGGAAATATCACCTATGCTGAAATGTGGCAAGTGGGCTGAGCCCCAGAGGACGGAGGGATTTCACTCCACCTGGGACCCTGGGATGCGCACAGGGTTTGTGGAAGAGGGAGAGGGCAGACAGGTCAGTTTATCCCACAGCAAATAAAAACAGTGTGCTTCTCTTGCTTTTTGTTTTTGTTTCTTTGAGACAATGATGCCAAAGGCACTGGCTTCAACAGCAGGGTGGAGCCTTTTGAAGGCGGGGCACTCCCCCACCGGAGCTTCTCTGAGCTCTGGGCACCCGCACCCACCCCAGCCTGCTCAGTGCGTCAGACTTCCCGGGACGGCGGGCGGGGCTGTTCTCTCCTCCCACCCAGCTGCAGGGCACCCCTCTCCCCTGCGGGCAGGAGCGGAGAACAAGGGTGGGGGGGGCAGGGCCAGTGCGGTGCACTCATGCGTGTTCTTTGTGTCCCCAGAAATGGCTGGTCTGGCTGTGACCGGAGGAGGTGAGTCTCTCTGGGAAGGAGCCCCAGCCCCCCACCTGTCCTGGCCTCGGGCCTCTCTGGGAGGAGCCTACCTCGACCAAGCCCCGGATTCCCTTGAGCCCCAAGTGCGAACCTGTGACCCAGGGCGAGCCCCGAGATCTGTCCCCAGGAAGCAGGGCCGCTGGCTCTCAGGGCCCTGCGGGGCGCTTGGTTCCCGAATTGTAAGCTGAGCTCCGTCTGGTTCCCCGCAACTGTTCTGCGAACCCAGTAGCTCATCCGGTGAGCCCGGAGGTTTCCATCTGTGCTCTAGAGCGGCGTCCTCCAGTACAGTGGCCAGAATTAAAGAAAATAAAAGCGTTCCGGTCACACTAGCCACATCTCAACGCTCGACAGCCACACACGGCTGCAGTGTTGGACAGGGCAGGTGCAGAGATTTTCATCACTGAAGAGTGTTCGTGACTGCTCTGCTCTGCAGATGTAAGAGAGGAGGGGAAAGCACTGCACCCCCGCCCCGCCCCGCCCCACCCCCTGCAGGGCCCTGAGGGGCAGCAGGCAGAAGCCCCCACCCATTACTCCTTCAAAAGAGCAGCTCTGGGGTTCCCTCTGTGCCTGGGGGAAGGACCCTGTGCTCCCTGCCAGAGGGAGAGGTCTGAAGACCCCCTGCTCCTGTCAGCGTAATTCATGGTCCACGAGGGCAGCCCAGGCCAGGGCGGCGCGTCCCGGGGCGTGACAGCGGCACGGGTGCCGGGACAAGCCTGGGATCCCGTTCTCCTGGGAGCCTGTCTGCTCCTTGTGTCCTCGTCGGCGGCCTTCCCTCGTGTGGGTCCTTGTCCCTGCCCTGGGCCTCACTCAAGGACAAAGCAGACCCCAGGAAGATGTCAGGGAGATCGAGGGCAGTCTGTCCCGTGGCCAACCTCAAACCCCTCTCCCCCGCAGCGGTGGCCGTGGGCGCGGTGCCCGTGGTGCTGGGCGCCATGGGCTTCACCGGGGCGGGCATCGCAGCCTCCTCCCTCGCGGCCAAGATGATGTCAGCCGCCGCCATCGCCAACGGGGGCGGGGTTGCCGCCGGTAGCCTGGTGGCTACTCTGCAGTCTGTGGGTGAGTGTCCCGAGCAGGAGGGGGAGGAGGGGAGGAGGGGGCCAGGACGGGATTCGGCCCAGAGGCGGAGCCTGAGGGGAGGGCCTGCCCCTCCCTCCAGTTCTGTGTCGTCCGGTGCCCCTGGTCCTTGGTCTCTCCCTCCCTGTTCCCTCTTTAGGTTGGGGGTTGGAGGGTGGGCCTGGGGTGTAGCCTGGCAGGTCTGCATTCCCAGTCAACCCTACAAAACCTGGGCAGGCCCCCTCCTCTCTCGAGGCCCCAGCCTAGTCCCATGGGAGGGGAAGTGCCTGCCATTTCTCAGAGGGTCTGCTCTCTGTCACTGGTGGAGTCACCACCAGGGTTCAGGTGTCCTCTCTGGGTAGCCCCCTGCCCCAGTGCAGACGTCCTGGGGTTTTAGGAAGTGGGGGAGGGAGCAGGCTTGGGAGCAGGTTGGGGCCTCTGGCCTCCTGAGGGTCCCTGGGATCTCTGACCCCACACCCTTGCCAGGAGCCACCGGGGCCACCTCTCCCACGTGCTGTCAAACTCTCTTCTTCCCCAGGGGCAGCTGGACTCTCCTTCTCATCCAACGCCCTTCTGGGCCTCGCCGGGTCCTGTATCGGGGCCTGGATAGGGCGTTCAAAAAAGGCAGACCCTTCCTCTCCACCAGCTGGACCCAGTGGAGGCGACTCTCAGGATGGCAGCCCCTCCACTGACAAGCCCCCTGCCTCCCAAAACCACTCAGAGAAGGAGGAGAAATAAAGACAAGATGCCGTGACTCTCCCCAGGTGTCCGCACTGTGTTGGCGTGAATGGGGCAGGGCGGGCCGCAGGAACTCTGTGAGGACGAGCCCCGACGTCCTCCGTGACTGGGAGCTACGTGTGACCCTGAGAATGCCCTGTCTCCCCTTTAAGCCTCCGTTTACTGCTCTTCAGGTGGGGCCTCAGACCCAGTGTCTTTGAAGGTCTCAGCCAGGGCAACGTGATAGGACAGCTTGGCTCTGGGGTCACCGTGTGAGCCCTTGACCCTCCGCTGCGAAGGCACTACCGACCTCAGGCATCATCAACCCCTCCCCGCCCCACTGGAGACGCAGGGTCTGGCTGGTGACCCCAGAGCAGCGGTTTCCAGCCTTTTCCGTCTCAGGGCACACATGAACTGACCACTAAAACTCTGCAGCATACCCAAACACTTATTTTTTTGCGGACCTAACAGAAAAGAATTCGGTGTAATTTTGATTCACGCACACCAGACGGCCGTTGTCGTGTTGGCCGCCATCACTCTGCCAGCCTCAGGGAGAAGAGGTCAGTGTGCCCGACTGAGGAGTCAGGCCCTGCGTGTTGTAAGGATTCCTGGAGGAGACTTGCCTTGGGGCAGAGAACACACAGTATCATACACAGGTGATGCATTACGGAACTGTGCACCTGACACCTATATAATTTTATTAACCAGAGTTGCCCCGATACATTCACTTAAGAATAAACTACAAATTCCTGCTGCACACCGGTCGGAGATTGCTGCTCTGAAGTTCAGGGACACTGGGTCTGTCTGGCCGGGTGGCCCCTGGGGCTCTCCGGGGAAGTGGAGGTGTTCGTTTCTCCAGGGAGCTCTGTCCCCGTCGGTCTAGAACCCAGGGTCATCGGCTCCCACAAGGGACTGGCCAGCGTCTGCACGGACAGACAGGACTCCCTCCCCCGGCGGGGCTCCCAAGAGGTGGGCCAGCGCGGGTCACTGCTTTCCCGAGGCCCACCGTGTGCCCGGCCCCGGCCCCTGTGTCGGGTGCTCCGTGCGCACTGCCCCGGCGCCTGCTGCTGCCTGCCGTGCAGATGGCCCGCGCCCAGCTTCTGAGAGGCCTTTCCCACCTGAGGCTGGAGTCTCGGGTCGCAGCCTACTGGCTCCGGGACCTCCGCGCGGGTTCCGCCTCTGGCCTCCACACCTGTTCTTCCTCGGCTGCAATCGGCCCCTGTGTTGTGAGGGCTCATTGATAACACAATGTGTGCGATACATTCAGAGGATCGAGCTCTATGGCGTGGAGGACAGAAAGTAGAGATTAATTCTAATTGTAGCTATTTAGGAAGGCTTCCCGGAGGAGGTGCCCTTTCATGGAAGACTATGTAGTTATCAGTAATAGAAATTTGACTACAATGGGCTTGAGTTCAAGGGGCTTGATTGGCTTCCTGAAGTGAAAGGCAAAAGTAAGCAGGCTTCGGTCAAGGTGGGTTCAGCAACTCAACCCTGATGCCAGGGACCCGTTTGTCTGGGTCCCTCTCTGCTTCTGGGTTACCAGCTTCATCCCGTGACTGCCGAGTCTCATGGTTACAAGCCGGCTGTCGGCAGGCCCTGGAGGCCACCTGCTTCTTTATTCACGTCTCCCCCAAAAGAGCATTTTTTTCTGTGAACCTTCTGCTGCAGAGCAAGCAAGTGTCTTTCCCAGAAGCCTCTGGGAAAGGTTCCTGTTCTCTTCACCCCTAAACCAATCGCTTTGGCCCAAAGGTGTGATGTGAGTATGGTGTCAGTCATCCTGGGCTCAGTTTTGGAGGCTGCAGAGACGGCCCAAGGCCTGGACGAGCCTGAGGTCAAGACAGGGGCTCCCAGTGCCTGAGAAGTAGGTTCCTGCCTGAAGAGGACCAGGAGTCGACAAAGACAGGGGCTGTCCTCCAGAGGCAGCCTGAGGGCTGCCCTCCGAGGGAAGACCGGGCCTCCAGGGGCCCCGCGGGAACCCAAGCCGTCCCCGGGCCAGGCAGCCTGCGTCTCTCTCTGTCTCTCCCTCCACGCTGCCTGCTGCCGCAGCGATTCGGGGAGGCTGGTGGATCCGCGGACAGGCCGTCCGCAGGCGCTTGTCGCTTTATTTGTTAATCTTACAAAATGGGATTGCAACATTTTCTAATGAAAACCAACATTTCATTGCATTTAAATTACCTGAAGTGGGAGGTGTTGACAGTGGGGGAGGGGGCTTTACATGGGGGGGTGGGGAGCAAGGAGCTCAGGGGAAAACCCCTGTGAGCCTATCATGGCTCTGAAAAATAAAGTTCTTTTAAAAATGTTATCTAAGAAATATTCTGCTCTTATCCCTGGCTGGCGTAGCTCAGTGGATTGAGCACGGGCTGGGAACCAAAGTGTCCCAGGTTCGATTCCCAGTCAGGGTACATGCCTAGGTTGCAGGCCATAACCCCCAGCAACCGCACATTGATGTTTCTCTCTCTCTATCTATCTCCCTCCCTTCCCTCTCTAAAAATAAATAAATAAAATCTTAAAAAAAAAGTCTTATTAAAAAAAAGGGCAAATTATTATTAAAAAAAAAAAAGAAATATTCTGCTCTTAAAAATACAAACTGCGCCCTGGCTGGTGTAGCTCAGTGGATTGAGCACGGGCTGCGAACCAAAGTGTCCCAGGTTCGATTCCCAGTCAGGGCACATGCCTGGGTTGCAGGCCATGGCCCCCAGCAACCACACATTGATGTTTCTCTCTCTCTCTCTCTTTCTCCCTCCCTTCCCTCTCTAAAAATAAATAAATAAATAAATAAATAAAATCTTTTTAAAAAATCTAAATTGCTACAGATACGGTTAAAGTCTCTTTGGATCTAGTGACTGTCTTCCCCCATTGTCAGTGTCTCAGTCCCAGAAGTCACCGCTGCTGGATTTGGTGAGTGCTTGCCACGCCCCTTTAAAGTGGTTTCTGTTGACAGCTGACAGAACGGCGGGTAGACAGACCAGAGGCAGAGGGAGTAGGTGTCTCTGCAGAACACATTGTACACAGTGCTGCTGTGTGCCTTTTTATAGTACAGTTCTGTACATCTTTTCCATTGTTTTAATTACGGCGTAGTATTCCAAGGTGATAATACACCACATTTTTATTCAGCCTTTTCCCTATGTCACTAATGCTCATGTAGCTGGATGTTTAAAGGTTCTGTGTTTGGGAGAAATGGTGGCTTACACTTCAAAGCCGAGAACAGCGGGGGACAAAGACCCCACTCTCAAACACAGCTGCTGGTCATGCCCCCCGGGGTTTGCTGTAAGAGTGTGGCTCTTCCGCCCCGGGACTCCCAGCACCTAACACCCATGTCCAGCCCTTGTAGGGGCGGCTCAGGGTTCACTGGGAAACATGGCCCAGAGGGGGTTTGCTCAGCAAATATTTGTCGGGTGTCCACTCCAGCTCTGAGGGCTGTGACACATGGGTCAGTAAGACGGGGACCGTGTCCTCCTGGACTGCTCATGGGGGCCGACAGGTGTTTTGGCTCTTCTTGGTTCCTCTCTTGACACACGGCGGGTAGGGTGGGAGATCTTTGACCCTGCATCCGTTGCCCGCCTGGAGGAGTTTGTCTAGGGTGGTGGGTCCACAATGAGTGGGTGGAGGACAGACTATTGGAGCTGGGCGGCCTCAGGGGGCTGCACTTCTGAGGGCTGCATGGAAGCTTAGAAAGACAATGGGGCTTGCCCAGGTGTGGAGACCCCGTAAAGAAAGAGGCAGTGGATGCAGGGGTGGAGGGTGGGTGTGTCAGGGAGAGAGAAAGGGTCCAGAGAACCCTCTGCATGACTCATTTGCACATCTGTAAAATGGGGATAATTGTGCCTCTTCCTGTGGCTGTCGTGAGGATTAAAATGTAATGGGGTTAATGTAAGCAACCCCAGAGCAAGTGCCTGCACCAGACTCTCTGCTGATGTTGCACTCTGTCTGTGGCGCCCTCTGCTGGGGAAGATTTGAACTGCTCTCTTTCTTTGCAAGCTATTGTGTCCTCACAGCAGGGGTCACTCACCTGCAGGGTCCGGACAAGGGGTAGCCGTCCCTCTAATTCTGTGCTGGCTGCTGCTGCCCGATAGCCCACCCCTCCTGGGTTCCCTTCATCCTCTGGAAGGCACAGTCTCAGACACCTGCCTGACTTCCCTCAGGTTCCAAGTGGTTCATGTCAAGCCTTCCAAGGGGGTCCTTGGTGGGTAGACCGCTTTCCCTCCCTGCCCCGCAGGGTTTGGGGAGGAACAGCCCACCCATTCACTCTTGTTCTTCTTCCCTCTCTCTTCCCTTCCTCTACAATCTCAATTCTCTAATTAATTCCTCTACTTTTTACAATTTTTTTAGAGATTTTAGTTATTTATTTTTAGAGAGAGGGGAAGGGAGGGAGAAAGAGAGGGAGAGAAACAGCGATTGTGTGAGAGAAACATGAGTCGGCTTGTCACCTCTTGCGCACCCTCTACCTGCACCCCAAGCCTGTGCCTTGACCAGGAATTGAACTGGTGACCCTTTGGTTTGCAGGCCAGTGCTCAATCCACCGAGCCACACCAGCCAGGGCATAATTCCTGTACATTTTTTTATAATGAATTGCATAGTTTCTTAGCATACCCTCTTGGCAAACGTTACGAAGTGGAGGTTCTTTTTTTTTTAAGATTTTATTTTATTTATTTTTAGAGAGGGAAGGGAGGGAGGGAGAGAGAGAGAGAGAGGGAGAGAAACATCAATGTGCGCTTGCTGGGGGTCATGGACTGCAACCCAGGCATGTACCCTGACTGGGAATCGAACCAGCGACCCTTTGGTTTGCAGGCTGGTACTCAACTCACTGAGCCACACCAGCCAGGGCTAAGCTCCTGAATGTTTAATAATTCCTTAGGCAGAATAGGAAACAGCCTTGATGCCCTCTCTCTATCTATCAGGCTGAGGGTTATTCACTCGGGGGCTGGCTGAACATACTCTGGCAGCCCCAGGATTACAGAAATTTCTGGCTCCCGCGGACCCCTGGGACGCAGGGTCCTGCCCCTGTGGGATTCCGGGGTCCCTGCCCACCCGCAGGAGCCCCC